GCTACCCGGCCCGGGCCGACCCGGTACAGATGGGAATGGCCCATAAGTGTCACTGGGGGAGATAGGAGGCTGCTGTTGATTTGGAAAGCTGACCTATCAGTTTACTTGTCCCCATCCTTCCCTTCATCCCCTTCTCCAGAGGCCTCACAGACTCAGATGTTTTACACAGCCTATGAAATGTTTGAAGGACACAGAAAGCGTAAGTCCATGTGGTTTCCTCTCTGCCGGGCTCCCTGGTCGGACCCGCCTCTCCCTCTTGTATGCATGCGCTCATCCTCCGCAGCATGGACGCACACCGGAGGCCTGCTGATGCTCGTGTACAATCAGGCTCACGGACCAAAGAAAACAAAAGCTGGAGCTTGATTGCTGCAGTTGTAGTAAGACACAGGCGTCATGTGAAGTGTTTTTGTTTGTAGAAAACCTCACACATCCTACCTCAGTTTAGAAAAAAGAGTGACCGGTTCTGACTGGACTGACGAGCTAACCACTAATCTCAAAAGCATTATGCCGTAGAATCAGTTTGTTTATAAAGTAAAATGTTTCAGTGTTTATGTTTGTTCATGAACTCTACTGGGAAACATCCAAACTTTAACGCTTGAGTAAAGTGTATCAAATCTTCTGATTGTACTCGAGTATCGCTGGTCCCTCCTGGCTCTTTGGGTTCTTTCGGGTTCCATCACTGCAGGAAAAAGTGCATGTTCATCCTCATGGGCACCTCCTCATGAATGTCAAGTCCATTTCCTCTCTTTGTAAAAGAGCGCCGTGTGTTATAGGAACACTTTGAAAGCTAAATGACTTCAGTTACACAACAGAAGCAAGTTTAATGAGCGGCGTTGTAGGAAAACGTCCAGGTGACAGTGGAACAGTTTCATAACTCTTCTTATCTGTTCCCTTCTTTGCATCCATCACTTTACTACTTACTGTATAACAGAATCTCCACATTCACAAACAGGAGATATCACGTTCTCTTTGTCCTTCCTTTTGCACTCTTTCAAAGAAAACTTTCCTCTGGGCTTCAAACATCATACCTGTGCTTAATACGTCCCATCACGTCATCATTCATCAGATCTGTGGCCACACTTCCTTTGGTTTCATGAAATACAGCAAAGAACGCACGGATGTGGATTTAAATATGGCTGTTAATACCGTTGAAGGAGAAGAAGAAAATGTCATTTCTATAGCGCCTCTCAAGATAAAAATTGAGGCGCTTCACAAAAACAAAAAAAATGTAAAAAAATATAAAATTGAATTTAGAAAATGGTTACAAATATATTTTAAATGAGCAAAAAATAGACAATTGTGATTAAAAATAAATGTTAAGAAAGAGAGGAAGTGACTAGGAAAGAGGGAAGGTGGAATAGGTGGGGAGAGCAGAATAAAGAGAGAGAGTGGTGAAGAAGGTCATACAAAAGCCAGCTTGAACAGGTGAGTCTTCAGCTGCTTTTTAAAGGAGACCACTGAGTCCACTGATCTCAGGCTCAGGGGGAGAGTTCCAGAGTCTGGGGGCCACAGCAGCAGATGATCTGTCATCTTTGGTCTTTAGTCTGGTGCTGCACAACCAGTAGGCTTTGATCACTGGACCTCAGGGACCTGCTGGGAGTGTAGGGACTAAGAAGATCACCAATGTAAGATGGTGCTTGTCCATGTAAGGCCCTATAGACCAGAACCAGGATCTTGAAATGAACCCTGAAGTTGACTGGCAGCCATTGAAGCTGGAGGAGAAGCGGGGTGATGTGGGTGTGTTTGGAGGACTTGGTCAGAAGCCGAGCACAGGCGTTCTGAACCACCTGTAGACGGTTCAGGGAGGTTCTGCTCAGACACGTGAAAAGAGAGTTACAGTAGTCTAAGCGTGAGGAGATGAAGGTGTGGAGAACTGTCTCAAGTTCAGAGCGGGACAGAATGGGACTCAGCTTAGCAACGTTCCTGAGATGGAAGAAGGAAGAGCGAACAAGAGAACTGACATGAGAATCCAGGGTGTGATCTGGGTCAAAGGTCACACTGACGGAAGGTTTGGTGTGAGAAGCAAGCTGACCAAGAGAGTCTCTGACTTTGGGAACCAGCTTGTCTGGGGCACAGATGAGTATCTCAGTCTTATCTTCATTCAGCTGAAGAAAGCTCCCAGCCATCCAGGTTTTGATAGAGTCTAAGCAGGTGTGTAACAGCTGCAGCTTAGAAATCTCATGGGGCTTAAAGGAGATGTACAGTTGGATGTCATCTGCATAAAGATGGTAGGAGATTCTTTTGAAGGAGCTCAGGATGTGCTGAAGAGGGAGAAGATAGAGGAGGAAGAGCAGAGGCCCCAGCACAGAACCTTGTGGGACACCATGGGTAAGAGAGGTGGTGGAGGACCTAAACTTGGAGACGGCCACAGAAGAGGAGCGCTCAGAGAGATAAGAGGAGAACCACTGCAGAGCAGTTCCTGATAGGCCTACCCAGTCTCTCAGCCTCTCCAGTAGCAGGTGATGGTCAACAGTGTCAAAGGCTGCAGTCAGGTCCAGCAGGACCAGAACAGAACAGTCCCCTGCACCACTGTGAGTCAGAAGGTCATTAGAGACCCTAAGAAGAGCTGTTTCAGTAGAATGAGCTCTACGAAAACACGACTGTAAGCTATCATAGATGTTATGTTCATCAAGAGCAGCTGTGAGTTGTTTAGCCACAACCTTTTCCAAGATCTTGGAGATGAATGGAAGTTTAGAGATGGGTCTGAAGCTGCTGTGGAGAGAGGGGCCAAGACTCGGTTTTTTAAGAAGTGTGTGGATTACAGCGTTCTTAAAGTAAGCAGGGACCTGACCAGAAACCAGAGAAGCATTAATTATGGCAGGGGTGGGGAACCCTGGTCCATCAAGGGCCGTTATCCAGCATATTTTAGTTTCAACCCTGCATCATCACACCTGATTTCAATCAGCAGGTGATTAACAGGCTTCTGTAGAGCTTGATGAGCTGCAGAACAGATGAACCAACCACTGAATCAGAAGTGTTGGAGCAAAGACATGCAGGATACCGGCCCTCGAGGACCAGGGTTCCCCACTCCTGAATTATGGAGAGCACGCTGGGACTGATCTGGGCTGTTATCAGAAGAACAGGGTGGATCAAAAGCAGCAGAAAAATTGCTATCTGTGCTCTCATTAAGAAAACGAGAATAACCATATGGCGAGCAGGAGGTGGGGACGCAGAAACTGACAAGTTAAAGAAAATGCAATGGTGATCTGAAATATAAACGTCCTCAGGACAAACACCGTCAGCATTTAGACCCAGGGTAAAAACAAGGTCCAGAGTGTGTAGTAATGCTACTGCACGTTTAGCTGGGTTGCTCTTTCTAAGGTGTACCTCATGGTATAGCACGACTTAAGTTTTGGCACGACTTTACAATAAGAGTCCCTTTCTTAACGTTACTTATTGCATTATTAAGCATAAACAAACTATTAAATGAAGTATTAAGAACTGCACACCATCAGAAAATGTAACTCCACCCCTGGTCAAGATTTGAAAAATGCCATGAAAGTGGGCGTTGCCAGGAGGCACAGAGGGGCATGGCCAAGTGTGAGGAATTTCCATCCTGGGAGGGAGGGGGAGTGGGAGGAGACTGTACCGATGACGGGAAATTGTTCCAACCCCAGTCAATCACAAGTTTAACAAGCAGTAGCCGCTGTTCTGCCACAGGGGGCAGCACTAAGACGTTTTTAGACCTAGATTGTAGATTTAATCAAGTTTACACAAACATTTTATAAAAATGCACAAAAACAGAAAGATTGCATTTGTAAAGACCCACTTATACAGTTAATATGCAAAAAAAAGTTATTTTGGGGTTTAGTTACTCCTTAACCATTATACACAACACATTACAAAGCAGACACCACCTTCCTCCCGGCCCTTTGTCGTAAGGATGCCTTAAAGTTAATATCAGTAATATTTAGGGATGGACAATATATCGGCATCAATATCGGTATCAACCGATGATAGGCATTTTTAACACATCGGTATCGGTCCGATAAATAAAAACCGATATTTTTTCCATCTTGTCTCCATTTGTTTATCAGTTTCAGAGGGTGAGGGGGGTGATGTGTATTTGTTTAGTCATGTGACAGTGATTGTAATAATCTCAGAAGCATAAGTGTGTGTGTGGTGTGTGTGCATAATATGGTAAATTCAGCTTTAATATTTTTCATTCTATACAAAATCTGCTGATTTCAGTAGCATTAATGTCAGTATATCGGTTATTGGGTCATAAGAGTGATCTAAATATCTGCTTCGGCCCCAAATTTCACATCGGTGCATCACTAGTAATATTATATAAAGGGACCCTTTGTTTATTCATGCTTAATAACGCACCAGGTGATGTTAATAAAGGGACCCTTACTATAAAATGCTTTCCAAACTGGTTTTGTGGAGTTTAGTTTACCTAAATTCAAATTTAAAAAAGTAATCAGGAGACAGCAGACTTTCTTGACCGAGAAATGGCCGACGTTAGTTGTAAAATAAACGTAATGGATTTTTATTTACTCTTTAGGGTGTGCATAATCTTTTGCTTAGCCATCATTTTCACATCTTAAACTCAAGTTTTAGGTTAGTCCAGTGCTTTGATTTGAGTTACCTCCAAACAGCCTTCAGCTGTAAGGTAGACTGTGCTGAACGCTGATGATGTGGGAAATGTAATTCAGCGTCAGCAGCTGGTTTTTCCCTCTCTTGAGGGTTTTACCGTTCAGCCCAGACTACAACAGCCCCACGGCTTCTCTACTGAGCTCCGTAGTCCTCCCTCTGTACTCAAAGAGCTCCTATTTTGTTCTGCCACCCTGGCATTTGGGATTGGACAGAAGCCAAATTCTTGCAGACAGCAACATGCCCAGCGGCGAAGCTCATGACGGCCTCCCACATCTCGTCTGTTGTGTCTGCGGTGAGTTTCTTGGCTGCCGAGTTGAAGGGTGGCATTCCCGGCAGAAGCCATGCCTCCGTCTCAAGAATCAATGAATCACAACACTTAATGGCACTGATGATGTGCTCCTGAGGGATTATCACACCTTCTTCACCTCTACACTGAAGCCATTCTGCGTCAGAACATTGACTGATGTGTTCCTCTGTAGCTGCTGAGGGGGCGCAGCCTGTTGCCACCATCACTCCCTCAGTGCTGAACGTCCAGCAGGGTCAGCGGGCTGAGCTTCGCTGCACGGTGACCGGGAACCCAACCCCCGCTGTTGAATGGATCGGTATGACCCCTCGATTGTTTTGTTTTGTAAAAGTCGTGTTTAGTCCATCCTGTAACTCTCTACAGTAGATTCCAGACAGTGATATCTTCATTTCTAGCTCGGTAACATCTGCAGGGACTTGACACGGCATTGTGACTGTTACAGGAGGCCCTGGGAACAGAATGAGTCCCAGAGCTGTGGTAAGAAACGGCGTCCTGACGTTCTCAAGTGTAGACTCGTCTGATGAAGGAGAGTACATCTGCAAGGCCTTGAACACTCATGGCGAGCACACCGCTCGGGCCTTCATCTACGTCCAACGTATGCTTTGGGTTTGAGTGTGAATGTGTGCCTTAAGTCTGTTTTTTTTAAATTTAACCAAAGTTAGCTGCTGTCTTCCAAACTGTTGAGTAAAGGATCAGCTAGAAACTTCTTTTAGCTGAGTGATCGTTTGCATGTTTGGTTAGAATCAAACCCAAGCGGCCTCGGCAGCGTGCCTCAAGTTCAAGTCAGTCCACAAAGCGCCGAGGTCCACGAAGGAGACTCCTTGAGGTTGTACTGCAGAGCGTCCGGCTCGCCAACCCCAAAGGTCACCTGGGTGAAGAATGGAGGACGAATCCCTCCGCAGGTGAGACGGCTCACTCTCAAATGGTGATCCTATTAAAAGATTGGTTTTAAAAAGCAAACAAACCTTGAATGTTGTTAAAATTGTATTTTGAAATGTGTAAAAGTTTAAAATTACTATCTTAGCTATTGTAGAAAGCTTCCTGTATGAAGTTATAAGGCTGTACGTCTGCTAGAGTTAGGGTTAGAATTAGCCCAGATCATAATGGGTTGCTTCCATCTTAAAACCGCTCCAGTTTCCAACGTTTCACTGCGGCTAGTGGAATTATTATATAAATTCACGTCACAATTATTTTACTTTTTCGTGGTTCTCTTAATGGAATTCTACAATAATTTACAAGCAAGCTAAGCTAGCACTTCCTGAACAGACAGGGACCAAGAACCACGTCTGTCCATCTGTCTCGTGTCTGTGTGTCCTGTCTCGGGCTGCATGGCGGAGCAGGTATTCGCGCTGCTGCCTCGCAGCAAAAAGGTTGCAGGTTCGAAACTGGACTGTGGCCTTTCTGCGTGGAGTTGCGTGTTCTCCCCAAGCATGCGTGGGTTTCCTCCGGGTACTCCGGTTTCCCCCACAGGTCACAGCGTGCCCTACAGGCTATAAATTGTACGTCGCTTTGGATAAAAGCGTCTGCTAAATAAACAAACAGAAACATTAGTTCAGCAGGAATTTCTCCATATTCCTGCTGAACTAATAGGGCCGTGGGAAATAATATGGAATGTGAAGCCCATTTCTCCGGACTGAGGCCGTTCAGGAAGCCATCTTTAATACTTGGGATGTAATTTTATCTTTTACACAAAAACGTTTGTCTGAAATATCTCTTTCATTTGGCTCAAAGCATTCTGCTGAATGACCAACTGAGAGTGTAACTGTGTATGCGTGAATCTTCCTGCATCTCAGGGTATTTCCAGGTCCATCAGACCCTTTCAGCATTTTGACCGTTTCCCTTCATTTTCTCCCACTTCTGTTTGTCTCCTCCCCCCTCCTGGTTTTGGACCCTGTCCCGTTTTTGCCGTTTGCTCAGGCCATTCCCTCTCACGGTTTCCATCAGTTTAAAAGCAACAGTCTCGATGTGTTACAGAGACGTATTGAGGAGCTGCAGGTCTGTCCATCTGTCTCATGTCTGTGTGTCCTATCTCGTAGTTCACACCCATCGTCCGCTACTGACCTTGTCTCCACGCTGTCCACTAAGTGCATGATCAAAAACGTTTGTCTCTCACTGGTCACCTTGTTGCTTTTGGAGCCAAACACAACGAGCAGGACTTGTGTTTGTGTTGTTTTATTAATCGAGATGTTCCGTAGTGTCTCGTTTTGTGCTGCTCTCATCAAACCACCCTCGACGTATTTAACTCCCAGGTGGCGTCCATCAGTCCACTGAGTGTATCAACAGTACTGCGTATACAGCAGGTTCTGCGGGTATTTTAGACGTGTTTTGCCCCTTTGCCCTGTATCGGGAGGAGAGGGTTCTAGTCTGGCCCTCCTTGGTTTGACCAAAGCTTCAGGGCCTGTTTTGTTCTGCCTCAGAGAGCCGCTGCCCTGTGTCAGCCTTTCCCAGGGCAAGCCGGGCTCTGTCGTGCGACCACGCAGAAATTCTGTATGCTCTGGCAAACGGGTTGCTTTGAAAAGTCTTCAATGGGTTCAGACACGCATAGAGGCACGGTCCACCTCAGCCGCGGCTCGGTTTAGTTTCCCTCATGGTTGAATGGGCTGCAGCTAAGCGGCTTTGTCCACGGATGAGTCCCAGCATCCACCCTTCCTCCGCTCCCCATACCCCGATACGTTAATCCGTCCCTGGACTCTCCCATCCCGACTTCATATTAAAAAAAATATTTCAGCGGAGCAGTTACACCAACTCCAAAAGGTTTTGGGGTGCGTCAGACACCTAATGGTTGATATTTGCACTTTGTAGCTTTTCTAGGACTGATTCCAAGATTACCTCTCATGAAATTCTGCTCTTTACTCAATAACCCAATCAGCTGGCCTCAAAACTGTCAGTCCTTTTTATTATTATTATTATCAATCAGCCACCGGTCATTAATAGACACAGCTGTTCTAAACACACCAATCACTGAACTGAAGTCACTGAAATTTCCAACTAAGGACCAAACTGCTGCAATAACAGCTCCTGTCTCGTCCTAGAGGTATCTGCTGTAGTGTATCTGTGTCGCTGGTAGCTAGTTATGTCTTCATGTCAGCATATATGTGTTGTTTTGTGGCAGGTAAGTGGTGCACTTCATAATTAGAGTCATTAAATGTGTAGCTGCAGTGCAGACGTAACTCATCGTGGCAGCAAAACGATGGGCCTCGTGGATTATTTTGTCGGCGTTTTCCCATCAGGCCCGAACGGACCGCACGGACATCGGAACTCTGCTCATCCCTGACATCAAGGTGGCCGACTCTGGCACCTACATGTGTGTCGGCAGCAACAGTGTCGGCTCAAATAGTGCTCCCATCAAAGTTGCTGTGCTCAAAAGTGAGTCGGGTTATCTTTTTATAAACACTATAAAGTAAAGATCGGCCTTCTGAATATCTAGTCAAAAATGTGTTTTTATGTTCAAGCAGCAGACCAGAGCTTATCAGTTGTCACCATCCAGCCAGCTGTAGCCGACGTCCAGGAGGGACAGAGGCTGGAGCTGGATTGCTTTGCTCCTGGAAATCCTCCTCCCAGAGTCACCTGGACTAGAGCCAACGGGCGTCTCTCTTCCAATCACCAGGTCAACCACAAACATCCTCGTGCTTTCCATTTTCTGGAGATGCCCGTGCTTCACAAATCTGTTTGTCCGTTCAGGGTGAACTAGTCATTCCCAGGGACTGCTAGTGCCCAGGTTATAGCACAGGGGTGTCCAATCCTGGTCCTGGAGGGCCGGCTTCCTGCATGTTTTAGTTTGAACTCCGTTTCATCACACCTGATTTCAATCAGCAGCTAATTAACAGGCTTCTGCAGAGCCTGATGAGCTGCTGCGCAGGTGTTTCAACCACTGAATCAAGTCTGTTGGAGTGGAAAAACCACAAAACCTGCTGGATACCGGCCCTCCAGGACCAGGATTGGACACCCCTGTTATAGCAGAAGCAACCCAAATCAATACTCCTCCTCCGCCATGCTGACAGCTGGTTGGAGACACGCTGATAAACCAACTGAGATGTTTCATTTACGTTTTTTAGGCATATTATTGTTTTTCTAACGCTTAATTGTCATTATATGAGAAATTCTTTGTCCATAATGTCTAACCCAGCATATTTAGTTGTCTCAGGTACCGGTTTTACTTCTTTCTTAGCTTCTTCATTGTAGAAATGATCCTTTTCGTGTCAGAACTCTTTAACTATATTAAATGAACTCTCATCAAAGTGACTTTGATCTGTAAGTCAGGTTCTGGTGTGCTTCCTCCCTGCAGGTCGTTGGCCGTCAGTTACGGATCCTGTCAGCCTCCTCTGATGACTCAGGAGAGTATTTGTGTCACGTAGAGGACAGCTCAGGCGCTCGGGTCCACCAGGCCTCGGTCTCTGTATCTGTCACTTCTTCTTCTTCACGTAAGTTTGAGCTTTGATTTATTTATTTTTCTGTTTCTCAGCTAGACAAGCAGACCAGACCTTTTCCAGGGGTTTAAAGTCGCTGTGCACGTGAGATAGTTTCAACAGATGTCAGAATCAGTCAGCACAGCAGGCAGACGGGGTGTTGTTGTTCGTAGACTCACACCACCTCTCCTCAGATTTCCGGAGTGACTTCAGATGAAATGACTTTCACGATTGTCCCATGATCTCATCCTCACTCACTTCTTACTGGAGTCGCTTCCCAGACTGCCGAGGCTAACCCCTGACCACGCTGAGAGGGGATTTCCTCTATGATTAGAAATAACTGTGAGTTCAAACTGCTGCAGGTCTACAGAGTCCGATCATTGGCATCGAACCCCACAGCGCCGCGGTACGAGTTGGCGAGTCGGCCAGCTTCAGGTGTCGGGTGTACGGTGGAGCCCAGCCCGTCAGACTGGAGTGGAAATTGGCCAGCGGCCAGCCGCTGCCAGGTATTTGAGCCGACCGGGTCTATGATGTCATTTACACACAGTTACAGCTGAAGTCTGCCTGTCATCCTCTTTCCTCTTATTTCACCACTCACTCAAAACAAACCAAAAAGAAACATAATGCGCAAAAACAACTCTGATATATGTTTTGTTACACAAATAAAATGGTCTTTCTTCTGTATCTAAGCCAGTTTTTACTGGGTTAGGACTGAGACGAGCTCCCGGATATAACCAGAGTTACTGTTTCTGCTACTCCAAACCTTTTCCCTCTGCAGCAGATCCGATCAGTCAAGTTCTGTTCTGTTCCTCAGAAAATGTTAGAGTTAGCCCGGATGGTTCGGTTGTCACCGTCAGCAACGCTCGCCCGATTAACCACGGTGCCTACCGGTGTGTGGCGAGCAACCCGTTTGGCATCACTCACACCATAGTGTCCCTGATCATTAAAGGTTCGTTTCACCTGAGTCTGAACTTGCAGTAGAAGCGCTCCCTCTGGTGGGCCATCACGTAATGGTCGGTGTTTCTGTCCCCGTCAGAGCCTCCTGTGGCCACCGTCACTCCGTCCGGACCTGTGCGGGTCAGGGTGGGAGAGCCCATTAGCCTGGAATGTCAGGCTTCAGGAGAGCCCCGCCCCTCGGTGTCATGGCACAGACTGGACAAAAACCACAAGACCACCCTGAGCAGTCCTGTTCCAATGGACTCTAACGCAGTCATGCAGGTACTGTTGATCCAGAAATAGCCACGCCAGCTTTAAGTTCATTTCTTTATGACTTTCGAGCTGAAATTGGCTTTTTTTTTGCAGATACTAATTGCCCGTCCAGAAGACGGTGGCACATATGTGTGCACAGCTCACAGCAGTGAGGGCACTACTGAAACCAGAGTGGAGGTGGTCATTGAGGGGGGATCCCAGGTCCCGTCTGCGCCGTGGACCTCAGTTCCAGAACCGCTGATGACTGTAATTGAGGGGGAGTCGGTAACTCTTCGCTGTGAGGCCCACGGTAACGTCTGCTATAAAGCTTGGCTTTCGGTTTGAACTGCCTGCTTTATTTTTTTAAGTCTGAAAACACGAGCTTTGTAATAGAAACGCGTTTATTTAAAAGCACCTCGTTTTGTTTGTTGCAGGATTTCCCTCACCCAAAATCCGGTGGTCCAAGCTGCGCTCCACTCTGCCCTGGAAACACAAGGTGGTGGACGGCAGTCTGGTCCTGCCAGGCGTTGGCCGCCAGGACTCTGGTGAATACATCTGCAGTGCCACTAACAGCTTGGGAACCAGTGAAGTCACCGTCACACTGGAGGTGGAGAGTGAGTTTTCCTTAGCTTCTCTGTGTTTGTCCCGGACATAAACCAGTTCAGTTTTTTTTTTTTTTTTACTGATTTTTCTCTCTCCTGTCCCAAGCTCCTCCTTTTGCCACCTCTGTGCCTGATGACGTTGCCGTGCGGGTTGGGGAGGTGATCCGGCTGCAGTGCCTGGCTCACGGCACCCCTCCCCTGACCTACACTTGGACTAAGCTGGATGGTGAGCTCCCACCAAGAGCTCAGGTTAGCGCTGGAGATCTCCAGATCAACCTGGCTTCCCCTGAGGATGCTGGGAGCTACAAGTGCGTGGCCAGTAACAGCATTGGCTACAGTGAAGTGCTTGCTAAAGTCACAGTCAGGTGTACGTTTCTGCTCGTTCCTCTAAGCCCAACCCTAACCCTGGTAGAAATCATAGACATCCCAGCAATTCTGAACCCTAACTTAGGTTGTGTCTTCTGCAGCCCCATTGGCGGTGCGGGTTTCACCTCAGCTTGAGGTTAAAGCTCGGGGCAGCGCTGTGGAGTTCACCTGTTCATCAGCAGGTGGGAAAGAAACCAAGATTGAGTGGCTCAAGGAAGGCGGAGCTCTGCCACCAAACCACCACATAAAAGAAGGAGTACTCAGGTGACCGCCTCTGTTTCACTAAATAACAGAAACAGCTCGGGGTTTTATTCTAAGATCGTCTTTGATCGCTTGTGGGGTTTTTGCACTTGGAGAATGCTCAGACACTTTGACATCAGTTTTATGTGAATTTAATCCACACAAGGGGGGATTTATACATTTTAATAGATTTAAAAAGTGTTTTCAAAAGACAGAGATGGAAAGTAACGAATTACATTTACTCAAGTTACTGTAATTGAGTAACTTTTTTGTAAATTTATACTTTTTAAGTTGTTTTTAAAATCTGTACTTTTACTTTTACTTGAGTAAGTTTTTAAAAAGAATTGTAATTTGCTACATTTGAAATCATATCCGTTACTGAGTAAAAATACATTTTAGGCTTCATACATTAAAAATATTGCGTGTAGCTGCGTCGGAACAGAAAGACACCTGCATGAGCGCCGCGTGTAAACCGTGTGTGTGTGTGTGTGGGGGGGGGGGGGGGGGGGGATACACTTTTGATAATGAGGACAAACAGCCATTTTTACCACTGTCTTGCTCAAAAACATCAGTTCAGTCCTTGTGATCCACTCGCTGCTTACATCCTCTCTCCCTCTTCTCCTGTGTGTTGCAACCCGCACCTTTGCGCTCCGGTGTCACGTCATCTGAATTCTGCTCGGTTCGGTAGCCGGACTCGGTTCCGTGTTTGAAATGTGTTTCCCCAACCGCTCCGCACAGCAGCGGCGAAATAACGGTTAGCGCTCATAACAACCGGATTCTCAGCGTTTTGCGCACACGAGCGAATTGTAAACCGGCGTTGTGATTTTGCACTACTTAGATGTAGCCATCCTTACGCTGACAAAAATGTAACTAAGTAACTTTTACTTTGAGTACATTTTATTTACGATATTTTTTACTTTTACTTGAGTAAAAATTTAGGCAAGTACTTTTACTTGTACTTGAGTAAAATATTATCAAAGTATTGGTACTCGTACTTAAGTAGGACATTTCAGTACTCTTTCCACCTCTGTCAAAAGAAATGAAATGAGTGTAATTCATCTCCTTGTAGGATTGAGAACTTGGAGCAGAGTAATGAAGGCGTCTACATCTGCAGAGCGAGCAGCGTGTACGGGCAAGCGCAGGACACGGCCAGGCTGACCATCCAAGGTCTGGAAAACACCCCGAGATCTGCTGACAGAACGTTGAAATGACGGCTCGGATCATCTGCAGCAGAAAAACATTTCACTGATGTAGAAACAACCCCAGCTTGGAGAAGCAACATATTCAATGCCATCATAAAACACCAAGTTTTAAACATTTTATTATTGCTATGCAACAACTGTTTGATGTGTAATCTTTAACACATCTGTATTTATATACAATTTCAGAATTATTTTGAGAGGAAAGAGAGCCGGTTGTCTGTGAGACTTTCAATCAAATTTGATCATTTTGCATTAGATAAATCTGCTGAAATAACAAATGCAAAACCAATTCTGGCTTCTAGGTTTCTAAAATAGCATTTGCATCCACTATGAAGGCTCCTCTTTAGGATAGTCTTCACTATTACCACCGTTAGCCAGGGTCATCTGTGAGGATGTTCACTTTGGTCTGCGCTGCTGCTGATATTCAGATTGTTGAAATCAGCTAAGTTTGTGCTGGAGGAGCAGAGTTTCTTCCTAGGCTACCGTTCATTTTGCACGTTACACCAGAAATAAATCCACGTTTGGCACGGTTTAAAGTTGAATTGTAACTGGATGTGAACCTAGAGACGAAGCTGTCATTGGGACTGATGTAAAAGCATTTCTGTTGACGTTTTGATTCTTCCTGTGCCGTCCGCGTTTCAGCTCTGCCGAAGGTGATGATTAACGTCCGTACCTCAGTGCAGACGGTGATGATTGGTAACTCTGTGGAGTTTGAGTGCCAGGCCGTCGGCGACCCCGAGCCCACTGTGAAATGGAGTAAAGTGGGCAGCGCCCTGCCGTCACACATCATGGTAGAAAGGGGCATGCTGAGGATCGACCGGGTGAAAGAGGCCGACGCCGGCCAGTACCGCTGCACCGCCACCAACGATGTGGGCTCAGTCCAGTCTCAGGTGCTTCTTAATGTCCAGTGTAAGTTCACAGGAAGTTTGTTTTAATGCACTTTATTTATAGCGTACGCTGATGGTTGCTGTAACGGTTTTAATTGTTGCCTGTTCTCTCAGCTCTTCCTCAAATTGCTGCTCTACCGGAAGCAAAGGAGGTGACGGTCGGGTCAGATGCGGTCATGCCCTGTGTGGCTTCTGGATTCCCGGTTCCTGATATCAAATGGTCAAAGGTAACTCTCCATAGATCCATTTTACCACTTTGACCTACGTGCCATCCCCAGGGGCGGCGTTAGGCTCGGCTACTTGGGCTGAAGCCCCGGATGTTTTATGAAAAGCCCCGGATCTAAAACATGGAAGTAACATGCAGTACCAAAGTCCAACAGAGAGGGAGCAGCTGGCAGTAGTTTGTATACAGCCTGCCTGAGCCTCCACCACTGAAGAAGAAGCCCTTCAGCAGCCGGCTTCTTCTACACTCTCTGCCTGAAACGCATGAGTGAAGATGGACATAAGGACATTTTTTAGACCAAAAGTACAACGACAGAACCCCAGCTTTGATGAGACTGGTGTTGACTCAGGTTTGTGAGTCTTATTTGAAAATATTTGTTGTGCTGCTGGTTTGCCTAAAGTTAGCTTATCAGGTAAAGTTGTTGGAGAAAGAAAGGGAATATTTACCATCATCTCTCACTAAACACTAACAGGAACAATACTCTGTCCTGAAAATGCTTAATATGTAGCTTCAGATTAAAAATCATGTGGTACAAGACAAATATATATGATGTTGACTAGTGCGTGTCACGTGTGTGTGCGCGCGCGCGCGTGTGTGTTAAGCCCCGGATCTTCTTCAGTCCTAAATCCGCCCCTGGCCATCCCTACCTTTTTTGATTGAAACATTCATGTGTGAGGGCGAAAGGTGTCCCTGGCGTTTGTGACGCGGTTCCAGGGTGTCAGCCATATTCCAAACCATTAAACATTTAGTTTTACGTTTCCCAGTGATGCGTTGCACAAGGGTCGGTCTTGTTAGCAAGCATGCAAATGTTAGAGCAGCACGATATGTAGAACATTTCTTGATATTGCATCATCGATGTGCTCAATGTCAATATCATGAAAGATTCCCAAAAAAATCCCAAATATAAAGCATCCAGAAAACATGCAGCTGTTAAAAAGTTACACCAAAATGTCACAAAGCCAGTAAATGAAGAAGGTTCTGAGCATTGTGAAGAAAGTGCACGTGGTATTCTTGTTGCACTTCAACACTTGCATGAAGACCAAAGCTTATTGATTCACAGGTATAAGTAAGCAAGATGTTGGAAAGAAATTGTGCATGTCTGTGAAATCATTCAGGAGCAGCTAATGGCATTTAGACTTGTTGGAGGGGTGTCTCATTTCACAGACAGTTAAAGCTGCACCATCCCCTTAAGATTTAAGGATTCAACGCTTCAAATGTGCAGTAGATTAGTTTCCCTGCAGTGAAACTCTTACTTAGGCTACGTTCACACTGCAGGCAAAAGCGCACCAAATCCGCTTTTTCCCCCCACATGCGAGCCACATCTGATTTTTTTATGACGATCTGAACGCACGGATCTGATTTTTTAAAATGCAACGCGTGTCACTTGAACATGTGTGGTACTGATTCTGACACATATCTGATGTTTTTGAAAGCGACTGCAGTCTGAACGGTCATGTCGTGTATTAAATCAGTCTCCTACGCCACTGAGTCGGCGGGTGTGGATGTTCCTGAGGAGAAACGCCGACAGACGGAGTCAGGAGTCGGTCTGGAAATCCTGTTTTAGGTTTTGGAATTAGAAATTCAGGAGAGCATGAGAATGGGAGTGGGAGGTGCCGCTGGAGCGAAGCATCTCACCGGTCTCCATCTCTGTGAAGGTGGTGGTGGGGAATCTCCTCGAGTGCGGGGGATACTCCGTGAATTAACTTAATATTTTTGGTGAATTATAATTCAGGAAGGCTGCGGAGATAAAGGCTAAAATATTTTACGGTTTTTAAAACGGTTTCCAGTCCAAAACAGAAGACTTGACAGGTGTGATGCTGATCCTGTAGATAAGCGGTCAGTGAAGGCTTTCATATCACAACTCCGACTCCTGGTGTGACTTCTCGTCTTCTGCGCATGCGGGTAGCTTTGGGGCTGCGGAGTGTTCACACTGGAGAGAGTTTGATGTCGCACTTCAGTCACAGTGTGAACAGCCGCACAAAAAAATCAGATTTACGCAAAAAAAAAAAAAATCTGAATTGAGCATCAAGGCCTGCAGTGTGAAGGCTTAAATACACTGAGGTGGAGACAAGGAACAGGTGTGATGATTACTGATTGCAAAGGGCCAACAGGTGTGATTAGTTGATTTGGGGATGGAAGGTGATACAAAAACACAAAAGTGAACCAGATAAAGGCATGAACTAAAACATGGTGCTAGAAACAAAGGAAATGCATTATTCTTAGATTAACTGAAGAGGGAAAACTATAAAAATAATGTAAACAGAACAACAACATTGTCATGATGTGGCAGTTTAGGTAGGATCCGAATGTGGTGAATGAAGTGGAGAGACGATCCGCAAGCAGCAGGTAAAGTTCTTTATTAAGGCCGGAGTACAGGAAAATAACCAGGAGCTAACAAGGGAGACAGCATAAGGAACATTGAACAGAGCTGGGTATAAATACACTGAGGTAGTGATGAGGAAACAGGGGACAGGTGTGACGATTGCTGACATGTTGCAGGTGTGGTTGGTTAACAGGGCACTGAGAGGAAACTCAAACACAAGACAACAGAATTACGGGAAATGGAGGCAATACGAAACACAGGAGGGCTGTACAAAACCAGATAAAACAGAGGCTGTGTTCCAGATGAGCCAGTTCTGCACAGATTAGACCAGCGGTGATCGGCGAGCAGTGCATGCCGGTTAGATTTGAGTCCGACTTGACGCCGACTTGCTCTGACGTCATGCCTACGTAGGCAACGATAACCTCGCGAGATCAAGGCGGCCGCAGATTTTGGAGCAAGGCGCTGCAGTTGCTCTCCACCGGCTGCAACACCTAGAGGATGACGGGAAACGGCTGGCTCTCACCTGATCTAAGATCTGATTGGTTCACATTCTGATCCAAACAGGCGGCGGTTGAATGCAAAATGTTAGTTGGTCACATGTATTCTTTAAATCATGTTACGTTGATGATGACAACTATACATTTGAGCGCCGTTCTGGCTGCTCTCATGACTGCCTGTACCTGTTTTTGTCTACGTGTGTGTGTTTAACCTTGGTCAGGTTGTGTTTGCGGAGTCAAGTTCCTATGCTCTGGGTCGCTGGAGCGCTGGCAATAAAGTTTATTCTGATTCTGATTCTGATATAGGCCACAAAGAGAAATGTGATTTGTGTTCTTTTGCCACGTTTGCTATGAACACACTAAAGCTACAGCTGATAACCTTTACTTATTACTACAGTCATGTCTTCATATACAATATATGATATCCACAAGCACGTGAGGATGTGTTTCAGCTGCTAACAGGCACCAGAATTAAAATAAATAATTAAACAAGTTTGAACTCTAACGCGATATCTTCATCCATCGTCACCCGCGAGCTACACATGTAGGGAAATCTGTCCGACTTAAACTTCCGGCTTTCAGCCACGCCCCCTGCTGCGTCCGTCTGCTCTCGTCTGCTTTCCAGGGGAGGCGCTGCTCAATTCGAACACGGCCATTAAGAGACTAAATGATGAAATAATACGCTAGTAGATGACTAAGTAAAACTGAACTGGACTAGGGGAACCGAACACACTAAATAGAAAACTACAACTGAGTTAGAAAGCTGGGGAAACGAACTAAACCAAGACTGACTACAGAAAAGGCACGAACCAAATCAGAATTCTTATGAAAAAGGAGAAAAACAATGAAGGACTGAAGAGTGGCTAAAAGTAACAGTGGCTGGGGATGAATAGGGCTGAAAAATGTTAGGGGACAGGAAAAACTTCTAAGAGAACACAGGGATCAAGGGTGACGGACATATGAGGAGGCCTAAAATGAATGCTGGGGAGACAAGGGAGAGGGGACATGGAAGACAGGATAACATGGACAGGGAAGACAAGGACACCTAAAATTGATCCTCTGACCATCAACGGTGTGTCTGCGGAGAGAGTGAGCAGCACCACGTTCCTGGGTGTGCACATTACAGAGGATCTCTCCTGGACGAACAACACCATAGCATTGGCGAGGAAATCACAGCAGCGTCTCTTCTTCCTCCGCAAACTAAGAAGAGCAAGAGCACCAGCCCCCATCCTGTACACTTTCCACAGAGGTACCATCGAGAGCATCCTGTCGTGCGGCATCACTGTGTGGTTCGGAGCCTGCAACGTTTCCTGCATTAAAACCCTCCAACATATAGTGAGAGCAGCAGAGAAGGTCATTAGGGTCTCTCTCCCCTCCCTACCAGACATTTACAGCACCCGCCTCACAAAAAAGGCCCTTCGCATTGCGGCTGATCCCATTCACCCAATGCAAAGCCTCTTCGAGCTGCTGCCGTCAGGGAGGAGACTGCGGAGTCTCAAGGCCAGGACCAACAGACTGAAGGACAGCTTTATCCATCAGGCAGTTAGGAAGCTAAACTCCCTCCCGGCTCTCCCACCTCTCCTCTCTTTTCCCCCACAGTCTCTCTGAACTTGGTTACTGTTTTTTGACTTTGACTTTGACCTAGGATGGAGAGAACATGGAGTGGCCTGAGAGGACAAGAGCCAGGGAGAAAGCATTACAGAAAATCTAGATGAGTCATATTTGACAATCGAATACTAAGGCCAGAAGGTGAAACATAAAGCTAAATAGAAGGATGAGCTAAACTTAAATGTTAACTTACATGAGAGAAATGCAGGGGTCAAAGGTCGTAGACACAAAGGAGGCTAAACAAACAGGCACCTGACAATGCTTCTACACCAAAAGGGGAAACTAGAGAAATGAAACCGACGTCTCATTTGAAGTCATGCTAATTACAAACTTTTACAAGCTGATGAGTCTCAAAGTGTGTGACAGGCGTGGTCGAACGCCCGTCATTAGCTGTCGTTTAAATTGAAGTACAACATATGTGTGATCCAGGCAGTAAGGCAAAGTGGACTCGAAATCCTTTAGCGGGGACCCGTGAGCCGACCGGAAAGACTTCCTATTTGATCTCTTGGACATGTCCAAGGTCTACTCTGCACCCTAAACCAGTGATCGCCTTGATCCTATGTAAGAGAAGTCCATAGTTGGGTTTCCGACACAACGGGTTCTACCAGCTCAGTGGCCTAGTGGTAGAGTGTCCGCCCTGAGACTGGGAGATCAGGGTTCGATTCCTGGTCGGGTCAGACCAAAGACTTAGAAAAAATGGGACCCAATGCATCCCTGCTTGACACTCAGCATTAAGAGGTTGGATTGGGGGGGGTTAAACCACCAAATGGTTCCCAGGCGCGGATGTGTCTGCAGCTCACCGCTCCCCCAGGGGATGGGTCAAATGCGGACAACAAATTTCGCACACACACCTGTGTGTGTGTGACAACTAATGGGACTCTAACTTTTTAACTTCTGCCACTGTTTTTGTGTGGGTAGCTACTCCATGTATGGATGTAAGAATCAGAAACAGAGTCCACGAGGCTCTAACTCTGCTTTGGTGGTTTTTGGGTTGTTTTCTCCTTTAGTGCATCATAAGTGATCATAAATCGTCTCTCTCTTTCAAGATGGAGGGAGAGCTTCCTCCAAAGTGTTCTCAGGAAGCCAATGTGCTGACGGTACCTCGGGTCAGCCATGAGGATTCTGGCACATACGTCTGCACAGCCTCCAACAAACAGGGCAAGGTGGAAGCCTTTACCAGACTTGAAGTCCATGGTTAGTGTGAGAAGTGTGTGCTAAGCTGCGAACCACTGAAATGTCAGTCGCTGACGATCACATTTACTTTCAGAGCGAGTGATGCCATACTTTGCCCAAGAACCCACGTCATACCTCACACTGCCCACCATCAAAAACGCCTACAAAGCTTTCAGCGTGAAGATCAACTTCCGACCCGACAACGTTGATGGTAAAGATGAAATCCGTTCTGCTTTTGTTGTCTGGCGCCTTTTTTTATTTCCTGGTTTGTAATTTCTTCTGTCCTCACCTCTCTCCCGCCACTCACCCATGTGGTGGGAAGGTCTCATCATGTATGCTGGTGAGTCTCAGGAAGTCAACCTCGATGCTGGCAGTGCTGCTTTCTGGCTGCGCCAAACTTCCAACAGCATGTTCCAAGCTGATTTATGGGCTGTGAAAGAAATGTGCACGATGGCGCATGAGCAGTGTTTTCAGTCGCGGCCATAAATCCATTAGACATCTAAAAACATACACAGTTAATCATTATTTTCTTATTCAATTCAATTCAATTCAAGTTTATTTACATAGCGCCAAATCACGACAAGTGTCGTCTCAAGGCACTTCACATAATAAACATTCCAATTCACAGTTCATTAAGCCAATCAGAAATAATGTTTCCTATATAAGGAACCCAGCAAATTGCATCAAGTCACTGACTAGTGTCAGTGACTATACAGCAATCCTCATACTAAGCAAGCATGCAGCGACAGTGGAGAGGAAAACTCCCTTTTAACAGGAAGAAACCTCCAGAGGATCCTGGCTCAGTATAAGCAGCCATCCTCCACGACTCACTGGGGATGGAAAAGACAGAGCAGACACACACACACACACACACACACACACACACACACACACACACACACACACACACACACACACACACACACACTTGTATTTAAATGCTTGTGTGGACCCTCCATTGACTTCCATTCATTTTTTTGTCATTTTTGTGACTGCATTATGCCGAACCCATACCCCCAATCCAAACCATAAATAATGATGTTCTATTCCTAACCTAAACAAAAGTTTATTCACACCATATCTCTAAAACCACATTTTAGGGTATTTTGTCATTATATGGACCAGCCAAATGTCCCCACAATGTGAAGATGTTCACACACTACATGTTAAAAGTAAAAATTTGTCCACATAAACCTATAAATACAAGTACACACACACACACACACACACATTTTATTACACGGACTGACTTTAGTTTTTAACGTAAACACAGATTTGGGACGTACAAATGTACGACAAAATAGCAAAATATTACAGGAGAAAATGGATTGAACTTTCACCTTTTTACATTTGCATCATTTTCACTCAGACAAATCGTAAAGGTAGAGCCACAAAGCCAGCACGAGACTTTTTTTAGAAATGAATGTTTTTTATATCAACTGAAGAGGTCTTTGCGGAGTTCGACACATTCTGTTCTGTCGGGTTCATCCCAGCAGTGTGTTTCCAACTCCCCCAGGTGCATGTGCTGCTCACGACACAGCGCATGCGTATTCACAGCATGCGGAGATCAAAAGAGGAGGATTTGCATTGTGTGGCAACGTTTTCTCTTTAAACCTTGGACAGCATGGCCTGCTGCTTTTACCTTCCAGCTCTGATGAGTGTGGACGTCCATCCTAACAAGTCAAAGTATAAACTAAAAGCTCTGAGCAACAAAAGAGCGATGATTATATAAAATATAAACCTTATATGTTTACAGACTTATTAGGATGGATGTTATTACACTGTTAAGTTTTAGCACTGATTCACTTTTTTTGCGTTGGGTAGGCATGATCCTCTACAATGGCCAAAGGAGGACGACAGGAGCTGACTTTATCTCTCTGGGACTCGTGAGTGGACGCTTGGAGTTCAGGTTAGAGATCTAAATCTTTGTTGCTGTCATCGTGTATAAATAACAAGACTAAACATCTCCGGCTTCTCGTGGGAGAAGTCCTGGCTCCTCCCAAGAATACACTTCTGGTGTTTTAGGCATCAAATAACTTATTAAATGATTGAAGATGAGACTGAGATCCTCATCTGTGCCCCAGACAAGCTGGTTCCCAAAGTCAGAGACTCTCTTGGTCAGCTTGCTTCTCACACCAAACCTTCCATCAGGAATCTTGGTGTGACCTTTGACCCAGATCACACCCTGGATTCTCATGTCAGTTCTCTTGTTCGCTCTTCCTTCTTCCATCTCAGGAACGTTGCTAAGCTGAGTCCCATTCTGTCCCGCTCTGAACTTGAGACAGTTCTCCACACCTTCATCTCCTCACGCTTAGACTACTGTAACTCTCTTTTCACGTGTCTGAGCAGAACCTCCCTGAACCGTCTACAGGTGGTTCAGAACGCCTGTGCTTGGCTTCTGACCAAGTCCTCCAAACACACCCACATCACCCCGCTTCTCCTCCAGCTTCACTGGCTTCCAGTCAACTTCAGGGTTCATTTCAAGATCCTGGTTCTGGTCTATAGGGCCTTACATGGACAAGCACCATCTTACATTGGTGATCCTCTTAGTCCCTACACTCCCAGCAGGTCCCTGAGGTCCAGTGACCAAAGCCTACTGGTTGTGCAGCACTAGACTAAAGGTCAAAGGTGACAGATCATCTGCTGCTGTGGTCCCCAGACTCTGGAACTCTCTTCCCCTGAGCCTGAGATCAGTGGACTCAGTGGTCTCCTTTAAAAAGCAGCTGAAGACTCACTTGTTCAAGCTGGCTTTTGTATGACCTTCTTCACCTCTCTCTCTTTATTCTGCTCTCCCCACCTATTCCACCTTCCTCAGGATCCACTGATTTCCTTCTTTCCTGTTCACTCTCTCCCTTTATTAACATTTTTTAATCAGTCTATTTTTTGCTCATTTTAAATATATTTTTAAACATTTTCTAAATTCTATTTTATATTTTTACATTTTTTGTTTTTGTGAAGCGCCTCAGGATTTTTATCTTGAGAGGCGCTATAGAAATGATATTTTCTTCTTCTTCTTCTTCTTCTTCTTCTTCTTCTTCTTCAAATAACTTATTAGGCAAGGCATCTTTATTTATATTGGGCCTTTCAGACACGGAGGCAATTTGTTGTGCTTTTCAGATTTAAGAGAAACGGTAACAACATGAAACAGTACCGTTTAAAATCAATGAACAAAAAAAAATTGGACTTTCAACGGGGAAAAAACAAGTTCAAGTTCTGAGCAGTTGCGGTACAGTGGGTGCAGAGTAACCAGTCCCTCAGTCTGTCGCAGTTGTGTCCTTGGGCAAGACACTTTATCCGCCTCCCAGGGCACCTGTGGCTACAATGTAGCTCAACTCCACCAGTGTGTGAATGTGTGTGTGGGTGACTGATGCCTTGGGGGCGCTATGCAAATACAGGCCATTTAACAGGCAGATGAAAATTTCAACGTTTTCAATTTTGAAGTTATTGGAGTTGGAGCAGATTTGATGCTTGTTGCACCTCAGCCATTGCCTTTGCATGGGTGTGCTCCTCCAACCGCCTCTGTGAGCATAAGCGTGTCATCAGCTAGGGACGACTAGCCATCGATGCTTTGCACCCTAGTGCATCTACTGGTGGTGCAGAGATGGCTGAGAGAAATCCCAGCCAACCCCCACTGATGCCCTAGCTCCTACAGCAGTGGTTCTCAACCCTGGTCTTGGAGGGCCGGTGTCCAGCATGTTTTAGTTTTAACTCTGCTTCAACACGCCTGCTTTCAGTCAAAAGGTGATTATCTGACTTCTGCAGAGCCTGATGTACTGCTGCACAGGTGATTCAACTACTGAATCAAGTGTGTTGGAAGAGGACAAACCACAAAACCTGCTGGTTACCATCCCTCCAGGACCAGCACTGGGTGCCCCTAGTCCAACACACTTGATTCAGTGGTTGAATCACCTGTGCAGCAGCTCATCAAGCTCTGCAGAAGCTTGTTAATCATCTGCTGACTAGAAGCAGGTGTGTTGAAGCAGGGAAACAACTAACATCTATGTAAAAGCTCAGGAACCCTTTGGAGGGTTTTGGATTAATTAGCAGATTAGATTGTGAGGCTTTCAGCCTAGAATATTGAATCTTTTCACAAATTTCTAATTGTCTGAGATTTGAATTTGGAGTTTTCACAGGCTGTAAGCTATAATCATCACAATTACTGCAAATAAAGGCTTGAAAGATCTAGCTCTGCATGTAAAGTGTCTGTCTCCTACATTAGGTTCTCCTTTTAAGATGACTTACTGAAATAAATGAACTTTTGCAGAATATTCAGATTTTTTGAGTTTCATTGTTACTTTTTTTAATAGGCTTGACAGCAGCAGCTTTCAATTATTTAGGAAAAATACCTTACATTAATGAGCAGTTAACAATGTTCAGTACATCAGATTTAAAGCATCTAACAGCAAAGGAGAAGTTGCTCGCAGGGTGTGCAGACGTCAACTAGAAACGTTTGAGGTCTTAACCCTGTCCTCCAGTGCTAGTCAGATAGAAAGCTGACATTGTTCCTCTATAATTTGAGAAATGTCTTTTTGTCCAGGTTTGATGTGGGATCTGGGATGGCCACCATACGAGACCCTAACCCCATCAAACTGGGAGAGTTTCATACCGTTGAGGTGCATCGCAACCTCACCCAGGGATACATCATTGTTGATGGAGGGGAGCCAGTGAATGGCACCTCACAGGTACCCCATTGTCTTCCATGTTGAATGGGTTTGGAGTACACATGTTTAGTGCTCTTAATATGTGTTTATTGCACAATTACTCAACTTTACATTTAGATATTGGAACATCTGAAAACATATGATGGCTGACATATAGAAAAGCCAGACCAAACTTATCTGTTAAATCCTTTTTATGTTTTGTTGGTACAGTTGAACGGCAAGCCTACAAAGTCATGACTGACAGATAAGAATGAATGCAGCACGAGCAACTTTTAATTAATTTCCTAATTTTAGATTCTAGAGGCTTCCTGTATGATTAAAACAGGACAGGACCGAGAATGGAACCTTGAGGAACACCATTTTTAATTTACCCTAAATTAAAATGGTGTAAAACTTCCAGAAATAATAATTTCTGTTACTCTGTGTAATTTCCGATATTTATTTATTTATTTGTTGTTTCTGTTCATCAGGGTAAGTTCCAGGGTCTGGATCTGAATGAGGATCTGTATTTGGGTGGTTACCCCAACTACACGGTCCTTACAAAAACCGCTGGCATTAAGTCCGGCTTTGTAGGTAAGAAATCACATTGTGTTATAGCGGAAATAAAGAGAAGTATCTGTTTTCTGTGTGTAAGCAGTTGTGAAATTTTATGCAGGTTGTATCCGTCAGCTGGTCATTCAGGGAGAGGAAGTCATCTTTAAAGACCTGGACAGGAGTTCTACTGGCGTCACAAACTGCCCAACCTGCAAAGACCACCCATGCCAAGTAATCTATCTACTGTTTTTCTTTCGTTTAATTCCTTAAAGTTGTATTCAGAGGTATCTGTTTAGCTTACTCCCTGTCATTTTCCAGAATGGAGGGAGTTGTGCGGATTCAGAAGCCAGCTTGTATAAGTGCAGTTGCCCCAGAGGATTCACAGGAAGCAACTGCCAGCACCACTCATCTCTGCACTGTCACTCAGGTATACAAGAGTCACTAGACAAGCCTACTAGTGTACAACCTTGTCAGGAAATAGTATAGACATAGTTTGAAGCATGGACGTAATTTTGGGGGGGGACGGGGGGACATGTCCCCCCCACATTTTCCAAAGTCAAGTTTTGACCCCTGCACTTTTTACCATCCAAAACAATATTACGCTATATTAAATTAACACTGGTTGAGCTCTAGGACCAAGCGGAAAACAACCGTTTGTGTTGAAGCCTGTTTCCCATTAGAGCATACTGTAAAGATACCCCTCCCCCCTCCTCCCTCCCCAGTGTCCCCCCCCCACTTCTAAAGTGAAAATTATGTCCATGGTTTGAAGGAATACTCTTTGATTCCTTCAGAGGCCTGTGGACCAGACGCTACATGCATCAACCGTCCAAGCGGTCTGGGCTATGACTGCCGCTGCCATCTTGGCAAGTTTGGAAACAAGTGCACAAAGGGTAAGACAGGAAGTATTACTCAGATGAAAACTTTAATGACTTAACTATGTTTTACTAAAGAGTTTTCCTTCCTGCTTGGTACTTGGTACACTCTAGGGGAGCTGGTGACAACCCCACTGTTTGATGGTGAGAAGTCATACATAGCCTATCCTCCCTTGACCATTGTCCATGATGACCTGCGAGTTGAAATGGAGTTCAAACCACTTCAGAGGAATGGTCTGATGTTCTTCTCTGGTGGAAAGAAAATGAAAGTGGAGGACTTTGTGGCTATCTCCATGGTGGAGGGCCATGTAGAGTTCAGATATGAACTGGGCACTGGTAAACTTGGCTTTTTTGATACAATATCAGTATTTCACATTGTTCTATCTTCACGGTATGTTCGTCATTAAGTACTTGTTTTTATTTATTCCTTTTTTTTCCAGGACAGGCCGTGCTTCTCAGTCCCCAGCCTGTCTCTCTGGGTCAGTGGCACAGAGTGGTGGCTGAGCGGAACAAAAAGGATGGACACCTGAGGGTGGACAAGGGCCCAGTAGAGAAGAGGACATCTCCAGGAAAAGCCCAGGGCCTCAATATCCACACACCTATGTACCTGGGAGGAGTCTCCAGCGTGGACATCCTGCCCAAGCCTGCCAATGTCAGCAAAATGTTCGAGGGCTGCATAGGAGAGGTGAAAATTCTCTACACTGGAGAATCAGAAGTGAAGTTTCTCATTTATTTTCACACAAAGGAAGATCAAGCTTGTCTGCACCTCCTGTGTAGGTTTCCATCAACAACAAGAAGGTGGATTTGTCCTACAGCTTCACAGAAAGCAGAATGATCAGTAAATGTGTGGATAACAGCCCGTGTGACCGCCGACCCTGCCTGAACGGTGGAGAGTGCATGTCAAACATCGAGTATGAGTACCAGTGCCTCTGTAAGGATGGATTCGAAGGTTAGTTCTACAAAGTCTAAAGCACAAAACAAATGGAGAAACTATCTGAACGAGACGACAGATTCTGGTGGGCTGCCTGTTCGGATGCAGGCTCCATTCATGTCAGTCTTTGTGTCCTTGAGCAAGACACTTCAGCCTCTCTGCCTGCTGGTGTTGGTCGGAGAGGCTGGTGGTGCAGCTTGTGTGGCGGCCTTGCGTCCATCAGTGTGCCCCGGGAATGTGGGAATGATTGTACTGTAAGTGCTGGGGCAACGGTGGCACAGGAGTTAAGGTCTCGCCCCGTAATCGGAAGGTTGCAGGTTCGAGCCCCGCTCAGTCTGTCGCTGTCGTTGTGTCCTTGGGCAAGACATTTAACTCACGTTGCCTGCTGGTGGTGGTCGGAGGGACCGGTGGCGCCAGTGCTCGGCAGCCTCGCCTCCGTCAGTGTGCCCCAGGGCAGCTGTGGCTACATCGTAGCTCATCCCCACCAGTGTGTGAATGTGTGTGTGTGAATGGGTGAATGACTGATTGTGTTGTAAAGCCCCTTGGGGGGTTCCAGGACTCTAGAAGGCGCTATATCAAATACAGGCCATTTACAGGCCATGCTGTGGAGTGCCTGACTTAGAAAAGCACTTGTAAGCCATGATTACTGCCCTCCATGCGTCTTTTGTCACACTTTCTCTGATTCTACAATTTTGGGTAAACTATAAAGCTAAACTTAGATGAAAAATGTAGTAAAAAAAATGAGAGTTGAAGGCATTTAGGCTAGGGTGATCATACGTCCTCTTTCCTCAGGACATGTCCACTTTTCACTCTCTGTCCGGGGCGTCCGGGGGGGGTTTCCTACTTTGATCAAAATGTCCGTTTTTTCATCCAGGAGCAGGGATCGAGTTATGGGGGGGGGGGGCTAGATATCTTTCAGGGAAAGATCCAGTTTCTGCCCATATTACAATATTTATGGACTCTCGGCATAGCGGGATTCTGTCGAGCGGAGAGGACGCACAGCGCTGATCGTTGGTGTGCTCGCTGCGTCCGGCGCACGATACATTCTCAAGGTGGTGCAGCAAAGCCTTATTATTAACACACGATCATTCATATCTGTTTATATCCTCTGGTATTCTGTCTTTTAATCGTTCCTGATGCGCTCCGCTCATCGTGTGCTGTGGGGATTTCACCTCACTGACGCAGCATCGAAACGCGCTCTCCGCTTTGCGGTCAGGAGATCCCTTTGATCTGCTCAAAAGTAACTGATGAGGTGAAAACGTAAGAATCCAGGCAGCAGATTTTCTGTAGAGTTTAGAGGAGATGCAGGAAGATGAGAGACCGACAGGAAAATAGTTAAATAAAAACAAAACAAAGTGTTGAAAAGTAAAATGTAGGTAGATTTATCTCCACTACATGGTTTTACCTGTATAAAGCAATAAGTTACACACATGTAATATTTACCCATCTGATACAATTCAGATCACCTTCAAAACTCAATCCCCCCCCCACCCCCACCCACCCACCCACCCACACACACACACACACACACACACACACACACCACCACCACTTTTTTTCCCCAGAGGTAGCTCTTACACCTGGGGAAAAATGGCTCCCAGCGTGGTTTGTGTGGTGTTGCCATAGTGTCACGTCATCAGTAGGCACAGATCTCCTGTCCTCTTTTTTTGGAAATGGAAATCTGGTCACCCTTATTTGGGTGGTGTGAACAGGAGTCGACCCTTCACTTCTGACTCACCTTTTCTTTGTCTTGAGCAGGTGAGCGCTGCGAGGTGGTGAGATTCGCTTGCCAGAGCAACCGCCATTGCCAAAATGGAGGGAGCTGCGTTGACGGCAAGTGTGTGTGTGCACCTGGACACACAGGCCTTACTTGTGCTGAAAGTAAGTGTTAACAGGCAGTTCCACCCCAGAATAACCAAATGAAGTCAAAGCCTCAAACTGCGAGGTTTGAGAAAAAAGAAAACATCTTGTTATTTTTTTCTGTTTATTTTGGCAGCAGCTAATTTGTCTAAAAGTACAACAAATGTCCGTACGCAGCACACATGTGAGCTAGTCACCAAATCTTCTTCCTGTGGTTAAAGACGATCATCATTAGAGCAAAACCACCAAGCCAGAAACGCATATGGCCCATGTGGCTTCAATTTCCCTAAAGGAAGCCCATCTAACCTCATGCAGCTCACAGGTCACTCCCAGCGTTGCACTGCATGCTGGGAGGGATTGCACATGTTTTTATCCTACCTCCCTCATGGCTGTATCCTGCACACACAGGCCAGGTCTTCAGCATCCCAGAGGCTCCTAGGAGTTCAGAAGCTAGCGAGGCAAATGGTACAGTATCCCAGCATTCAGTCTGTCCACTAACAGGGCCCCGTCATGAGTCTGGGGGGCCCACGTCCCCCCCCCCCCCCCCCCCCCCAGCTCAACTTCAACTGTCTGTTGTCTAACACAAATATGCACAAAGTAAACCCCAAACAAACCTAGGGTCTGCCCTCAACCTTCTGCAAACTTTATCTGCTTTGGAAAGTTAAGAAATGGGAATTCTTCATCTAAGCTAAGGAGCAACTGAGCCTTAAACATTTGCCAGGAATCTCGCTGCCTGTTCTTTACTCATCGCACTTTTCTCATGCGGGAAATGTCAGAAATATGAAGTTCCTGCATTTTCTTCTTTCTTCTCATTGTCATGTCGGTGTCTACAAGTCAGCTTACTCACAGCACAAAGTCTTGTTTCTTTTTAAAACTGCCTGTTAAACTCCGAAGTCCACCCAAAACCCGTGTTCTCTCCGTCTGATCAGTCTGCTCCGTGTCTAAGTTTGCTCTTCTACTAACAGAACATTGTGATGCCTGTTTGGATGAAACAGCGTTCGAGCGCATTGAGCCATGAATGGGGACACTAGAACTTGTTTCAGGTGCTGGTGGTGGCTGTCAGACGAGTCTGCATCATGGACCTTTGTGCACTGATTGTGGGAACATGCTGAAACTCTTTCCTATGGGATTTTCTTATAGATATGTTCTTCATGTGAGACTGTGTAACATTTAAGAAAATCAATGACTTCTGCCTTTGATCATATATCAGAGATCGCAGCAGACTGAAATACTTCAAATATTTGGAAACGCTGTAATGTTAGTTAATTATGAGGGTGTGTGAAACTGGATCGTGCACACCAGCATTTACTTTTACGAGGCCAGGAAGTGAAGAAATAGTTAATCTTTTTTTAGTGTGAGTCACTGAGGCCATATATGGGCTTTTACATTTCTGAAAAGTCACCTTAAAAGTGCATGAAAAGTGGTTAAATTGGTCTTAAGTCATGCTATAGCGACTGTTGCTTCCCTCAGCTCGCTAGGAGAGATGTGCAAGAGGGAGTAAAAGTACAGGTTTAATAATAACTAAGTAAATGTGTCTCCAACAAAGGATTTTATTAAACACAAAGAGCCTATACATACAAAAGGGAAAACTGTTAACATAAAGCGCCAAAGGGCTGGGAGGAGGGAAACTAATCAACTGAAATATTCCTTTACAAACAAAACACTAAACTAACGAGAGCCGTCCTGTTAAGCAGAGACGCTCGGGGGAAATCCAAAAGCGGAGTCGAAGGCCAGTCCAAAGTCAAAACTACCAAAAATCCTAATGAACGAGAGTCTAAATCACCAAAGTACCACGAAGCTAAACTCACACGCGGAGAAGAGAGAAGCCTGAACACCTTCGCGCCTACACTTCCCTGTACCTTCTCCCAGACTGAGGGCAGGAAAGCAGCTTTTAACAGCTGTTCAGGGATTACTGGTGATTGAAAGCTGGGCACCGGGAGAAGCCACTGAGGCCATCTTGTGGCCGAAAAGGGGCAAGGCTTTTTTTTTAAAGTAGGATACTCCCCACTTCGACTCACACTCCCATTCAGTAGATGGCAGAAATGCACCTGAAAGTTGGTTGCCACCCGCCATTAAACAAGAAGAAGAAGAAGGGGCAAGGCACGTAACAGGGACCCCAAAACGTTATTGAATTTATAAATGCAGTTTTCCTCAATAAGACAAAGTATTTTAAGTACATTTCCCTTGGACAGTAACAATCCTGAAGTGTGGCTCCTGGCTCCCAGTAGTAAGCCATGTTTGAGGAATAACTTGTTTCTTTCTTAAAAGTTAGACAATCTCACAGTTTGTTGTCATGAAGGTTTTCAGTCACAGATTTTTTCTGTTGTCTCTAAATGTTGTTTCTCCATTTTTTTCCACTAGATGACACTATAACACTGTAGAGAAATGAATCTTCCTATTTACTGTATTTTGTAGATTCACCTTACCAGTACGCAGCTTCTTTCCACAGTGATGGCTACATAGCCCTCCCTAAGTCTATTTTCCCGAGAAGGTAAATGTCTACAGCTGGTTTTTACACAATTTAAGACTTTGTAATGAGTTGTAACGATTTACCAAACATGAAAACATTTTTCTTGTTTTTTTTTTTTTTTTAGTGCTCATGACTCACCAGAAACGATAGAAATGGAAATCAAAACCACTTCCTCCGAGGGCCTGATCCTGTGGCAGGGCGTGGTAAGACCTGGTCCAGCTGATCCATAAATCCTCCCTGTCTCATCCCTAACTTTGCCTCCACATCCCAACACCGTTAATCATTACCACAGCTGTAAGAATGTGATGCTCACTGATGTTTTCCTAGCATTCCCCATCAGCTGTGCCTTGTTCATTAGCATTCATCATTAAGTCATCATATTCCTGCTTGCGATGCTAATGCTGACACTGTCGGGCATGCTGGCTGACTCCACTAAATACATGCATGTGCTTCTCTTAACTCCCGCTCAGGAAACCAGTGGCTCGCGAAATTTGCGAAAGGTGCATGCTAGTAAAAAGGTATCCACTCGAACACAAGACATTTTGTTGCTGTTTTTTTTAAGATGACTTCATTTATGAAAGTGGGATTTTAGATCAATTCTTTGGTTAGGGTTTAATCTGCGTTAATCTTTGATTTGACTATTGTTGTTCAGAATAGTTTATTTCCAGTTTCCAAGTCTAAATAAGGAGCGTTCATTTGTCCTTTACTGATTCAACATCTTTACTTTAAGGCACCTGGGGAACACGGTAAAGGGAAGGACTTCATCAGCCTGGGATTAGAAAATGGACACTTAGTTTTCAGGTGACTGTGATGCAACTGTTGTTGTTGATTGTTGTAGATTGGCATTTCAGTATTATTTCAAACTAATATTTGTGTTTATAATTGATTTCATTGGTTTGGTTTTCAGTTACCAGCTGGGAAGCGGAGAGGCAAAAATTCTGTCCAGGAAGTTGATCAGTGACGGGAACTGGCATAAAGTCACAGCAGTCAGGTCTGAGCTCAGGTCCATTAGCTGCTCGTAGATGAGCTGCAATATAAGTTACATTTTTATTATACACTTTATATAAAATCGTTATAATTTACAGCATTGATCTTTGCCTTTTAAGTTTTTTACATTAAAATGTTTGTTTGTAGTTTTCGTTTCCATTTGTTTCCATATGAGAAACTTTTGAAAGTAATTCCATGATTTTGTTTTCTTTCAGAACTGGAAAAGATGGCTACATTCAGATTGATGGAGGAGAAATGCTACATGGGCAGTCTAAAGGCAAAAGCCTGATGGTCAACACTAAAGGAAGCATTTACCTCGGTGAGCAGAATGATGCTGTTTCACAAACTACAGTAAAAACCAGCTGATGGAATTCATATCAAACATATTTTAAATGAACCGTCACCTTATCGTGGAGGAGGAGTTTGAGTGCCCTAATGATCCTAGGAGCTATGTTGTCTGGGGCACTTTGTGCCCCTGGTAGGGTCTCCCATGACAAATTGGACTTAGGTGAAGAGTGAGACAAAGAACGGTTCAGAAGATCTTTCATGGACGTAAAAACAAAGAGTTGGAGTACCCGGCCCGGAGGGTTACCGGGGTCCCACCCTGGAGCCAGGCCTGGGGTTGGGGCCCGTGAGCGAGCGCCTGGTGGCCGAGCTTTCGCCCATGGGGCCCGGCCGGGCCCAGCCCGAACCGTATACATGGGCTCATCCAACTGTGGACCCACCACCTGAAGGAGGAACATGAAGGGTCCGGTGCAGTGTGGATCAGGTGGCAGACCGAGGCGGGAGCCATGGCGGTCCGATCCCCGGTCAAGGAAACTGGTTATTGGGACATGGAACGTCACCTCGCTGGCAGGGAAGGAGCAGGAGCTTGTGGCAGAGGTTGAGCGGTACCGGCTAGATATAGTCGGACTCACCTTGATACATAGCATTGGCTCTGGAACCCAAGTCCTTGAGTGGGATTGGACACTCTCTTTTGCTGGAGTTGCTCCAGGTGAGAGACGGAGGGCTGGGGTTGGATTTTTGTTAGCCCCAAGACTCTCTGCCTGTGTGTTGGGGTTTACCCCGGGGGACGAGAGGGTAGCTTCCCTGCGCCTTTGGGTCGGGGAACAGGCCCTGACTGTTGTTTGTGCTTATGCGCCAAATATCAGTTCAGAGTACCCACCCTTTTTGGAGTCCCTGGGACGAGTGCTAGATAGTGCTCCATCAGGGGACTCCATTGTCCTGCTGGGGTACTTCAATGCTCGCATGGGCAATGACAGCTTGACCTGGAGGGGTGTGATTGGGAGGAACGGCCCGCCTGATCTGAACTCAAGTGGTGTTTCGTTATTGGACTTCTGTACAAGCCGCAGTTTGGCCATAACGAACACCATGTTCGAACATAAGTATGCCCATCAGTACACTTGGTACCAGGGCAGCCTAGGTCGCAGGTCGATGATAGACTTCTTTGTAGTTGTATCATCTGACCTGCGGCCGTATGTTTTGGACACCCAAGTGAAGAAAGGAGCAGAGCTGTCAACTGATCACCACCTGGTGGTGAGTTGGATCAGATGGCAGGGGAAGATGCCACGTAGACCTGGCAGACTCAAATGCATAGTGAGGGTCTGCTGGGAACGCTTGGCAGAAGAACCTGTCAAGACGGTCTTCAACTCCCACCTCCAGCAGAGCTTTGACCATGTTCTGAGAGCAGTGGGGGACATTGACTCCGAGTGGGCCTTGTTCCACTCTGCGATTGTTGACGCTGCTGTTGCTAGCTGTGGTCGCAAAGTGGCCAGTGCCAGTTGTGGTGGCAACCCGCTTACCCGCTGGTGGACACCAGAGGTTCGGGGAGCCGTCAGGCTGAAGAAGGAGGCCTACAGGGCGTGGCTGGTCTGTGGGTTTCCGGAGGCAGCAGATGGGTACCGGATAGCCAAGAGGGGTGCAGCAGTGGCAGTTGCCAAGGCAAAATCTCGGGCGTGGGAGGAGTTTGGTGAGGTCATGGAGAAAGACTATCGACTGGTGCCAAAGAGGTTCTGGCAAACTGTCCGGCGCCTCAGGAAAGGGAGGCGGCATCTCGTTCACACGGTTTACAGTGGAGATGGGGAGCTGCTGACATCAACTGGGGCTATAGTTGGGTGGTAGAAGGAATACTTTGAGGAGCTCCTCAATCCCACCTACGCGCATTCCAAGGAGGAGCCAGAGCCGGGAGACCTGCGGATGGACTGTCCAATCTCTGGGGCAGACGTTGCTGAGGTAGTCAAACAACTACACAGCGGCGGAGCCCCGGGGGTGGATGAGATTCATTCTGGGTATCTCAAGGCTATGGATGTGGTAGGGATGTCGTGGTTGATACGTCTTTGCAACATTGCGTGGTCATCGAGGGCAGTTCCTATGGAGTGGCAGACCGGGGTGGTGGTCCCCATCTTTAAGAAGGGTGACCGGAGGTTGTGTTCCAACTATAGAGGGATCACACTCCTCAGCCTCCCTGGAAAGGTCTACTCCAAGGTACTGGAGAGGAAGGTCCGATCGATAGTTGAATCTCAGATTGAGGAGGAGCAATGTGGTTTTTGTCCTGGCCGTGGAACTGTGGACCAGCTCTATACCCTTGCAGGGGTGATGGAGGGGGCATGGGAGTTTGCCCAACCAATCCACATGTGTTTTGTGGATTTGGAGAAGGCTTATCACCATGTCCCTAGGGGCACCCTGTGGGGGACGCTCCAGGAGTATGGGGTGGGTGGCCTTTGGTTAAGGGGCATTCAGTCCCTTTACCAAAGGAGCGTGAGTTTGGTCTGCATAGCTGTTAGTAAATCTGACCTGTTCCCGGTGAGGGTTGGACTCCGCCAGGGTTGCCCTTTGTCACTGGTTCTGTTCATTCCCTTTATGGACAGAATTTCTAGGTGCAGCCGTGGTGTGGAGTGTGTCGAGTTTGGTGGCAGGAGAATCTCGTCTCTGCTTTTTGCGAATGATGTGGTCCTCCTAGCTTCATCCAACTCTGACCTTCAGCACTTGCTGGGTAGGTTCGCGGCCGAGTGTGAAGCGGCTGGGATGAGGATCAGCACCTCCAAATCTGAGACCATGGTTCTCGACCGGGAAAGGGTGGCTTGCCAACTCCGGGTCGGGAGAGAGGTCCTACCTCAAGTGGAGGAGTTTAAGTATCTCGGGGTCTTGTTCACGAGTGAGGGTAGGAGGGATCGGGAGATCGACAGGCAGATTGGTTCAGCGTCTGCAGTGATGCGGACGCTGAGCCGATCTGTCGTGGTGAAGAGGGAGCTGAGCCAGAAAGCCAGGCTCTCGATTTACCGGTCGATCTACATCCCAAACCTCACCTATGGTCATGAGCTTTGGGTAATGACCGAAAGAACGAGATCACGGATACAAACGGCTGAAATGAGTTTCCTCTGTAGGGTGGCCAGGCTCAGCCTTAGAGATAGGGTGAGGAGCTCGGACATTCGGGAGGGACTCGGAGTAGAACCATTGCTCCTCTGGATCGAAAGGAGTCAGTTGAGGTGGTTTGGGCATCTGGTCAGGATGCCTCCTGGACACCTCCCTGGGGAGGTGTTTTGGGCATGTCCTGCCGGCAGGAGGCCCCCGGGTCGACCCAGGACACGTTGGAGAGGTTACATCTCCATTCTGGTCCGGGAATGCCTTGGGGTCCTGCCGGAGGAGCTGGTGGAGGTGGCTGGGGAGAGGACGGTCTGGTACTCCCTAGTTGGGATGCTGCCCCCGCGACCCGGACCCGGATAAGCGGAGGAAGACGACGACGACAATCGAAAGGGAATCAAAATGTTTTCTACTCTTAAAAAGTCATATCGCATGTCCCGCCTTTTGCATTTGCTTCCTTTGTCGCTGAGTTAAAATGCATTTTCTAATAGAGCATTTGTTGTTAGAAAGCTGTAATGCATTTTCATTCTGATTCATTAACACTATAAATAACAACAAGAAACAATTCCTCACCAGATTTGGTTTACAAGCCAACATAATAGTCATAATGGATATGGGTACACTTTGCTAGTATCATGTTGGACCCGCTTTTGCCTTCAGAACTGGCTTAATCCTTCGTGGCATAGATTCAACATATGAGTACAGTGATCTCATTGTCATGTTCAAGAAACCAGTCTGCGATGACTCGAGCTTATGACATGGCACATTGTCCTGCTGGAAGTAGCCGTCAGAAGTTGGGTACACTGTGGTCACAAAGGGATGGACATGGTCAACAACAGTACTAAGGGGCCCAAAGTGAGCCAAGCAAATGTCCCCCACACCATTACACTGTCACCACCAGCCTAAACCGTTGTTACAAGGCAGGATGGATCCATGCTTTCATGTTGCTGACGCCAAATTCTGACCCGACCATCCAAACGTCACAGCAGAAATGGAGACTCATCAGACCAGGCAACATTTTCCCAATCTTCTATTGTCTAATTTTGGTGAGCCTGTGTGAATTTTAGCCTGAGTTTCCTGATCTTAGCTGACAGGAGGGACACCAGCTGTGGTCTTCTGCTGCTGCAACCCATCTGCTTCAAGGTTCAACTAGCTGTGTGTTCAGAGATGCTCTTCTGCATACCTTGGTTGTAATGAGTGGTTATTTGAGTCACTGTTGCCTTTCTGTGAGCTCGAACCAGTCTGGTCGTTCTCCTCTGACCTCTAGCATCAACAAGGCATTTTTGCCCACAGAACTGCCGCTCACTGGATATTTTTCCATTTTCAGACCATTCTCTGTCAACCCTAGAGATGGTTGTACATGACAATCCCAGAAGATCAGCAGTTTCGGAAATTCTCAGACCAGCCCGTCTGGCACCAACGACCATGTCACGTTCAAAGTCACTTAGATCTCCTTTTTTCCCCATCCTGAAGCTCAGTTTGAACTGCAGCAGATCTTCTTGACCATGCCAACGTGACTAAATGCACTGAGTTGCCACCATGTGATTGGCTGATTAGTTAACAAGCAGTTGGACAGGTGTACCCAATAAACTGGCCAGTGAGTGTATAGTCCAACCAGTGTTTTTTGGGTCTTTGCCACTTGTGTATGATGGTTCCGAAGCAGAACTCTTCTCTAGCAGAAGCAGGTTCTCTTCTGATATTGTGTGAGATCACCAGTGATGCTGTTTGACCAGAATGACTATAATTCCAGTTTCTCTCATCATGGGATGATCTTGGCTTTAAACTCTGGAATTGAAGGAGACGGGCGAGACACAAGTCCTTTAAATCTTTTGTCCCCGTCCTAAACAGGTTGTAACGGAATGAAATGACTAGTCTGCATGAGATATGGCCTCAAGGTCTCATGCATTTGTTATAAACTGCTTCCTTTCCAGCCCAAGAGAAGAATGAAGAAAGGACTCTCTCCTTTTAATAAATCAAAGAACTCTGTTTTAATAAAGCTAATCAAACAAAGTGTTAGTCAATCATAAGATGTGACCAATCTGTGAAATCAAAATATTAATTACTTTATTATAATCCTATAGAAAATAATAATTAATGTGACTTTAAATGTTTCCACTAGGACTGATCTCACGTAGCGTTAAGACATGACACGTTGCTTTTACTGATCCAATCAGAATCTTCCAGATCTGACGGAGGCGTGGTTTTGGTGGTGTTTGGTAAATCTGTCATCTTTTCATTCGACCATAAACCAAAATCTGAAGTATAAAACTATGCCCACATCATCTTTAACGCCAGTTCAAAGCGTTCGAGAGAAGTTGTCGTAGTGGCCAATCCGTAACTTTCCTCTTCAGCCGAAAGAACCAACGACAAGCTGGATAAACCTATTGCCGTTCCACCTGCTGCAGCGGTTCCTTTCAGAATAAAAGCTTAACTCACTGACCTCCTGGGTCCATCTGACGCTGTCAACCAACTGTCGCTTTTTACCTGGAGACAAATCCAAAGACTAGTCTGTCGTGCTGCTGACGCTGTTTCATCGGCTCCGGTAGTGAAAGGGGGGTCCGAGGACCTGGCATTCTGGATCTGTACGGAGGTCTCATGTGTGGAGCGACAACATGGCGTCGAATGTGTTTATGAATCTCCTAATCAAAGCTTAGCTCAAGACATCACCTTCATTCCCTCCAGAACTAATCGTTTCTTCGGATTTGCTGGTTCTGAGCAACATTCCACACTACACCATTCTCCGTCTCATTCACCTTAGTCACATGTAGTGTTAAAGTTAGTCTAGTTTTAATTTGTTTAGTAATAAATCTTTAAACTTTTAAACTTGACGCTCTCTTCTGTTGTCTCTGAGTTAATACGAAGTGGCTACCTAATCCCTGCAATAAAAAGTTCCAGTCTTCTGGTTAAAAAGTACCCACAGGCCCATAAAGTTGATTTCATATTTCCTATGGAATCTCATGTCTTATGGCTCATGAAATAACATGTACATTATCTCATTACAAGGTGGTGCTCCCGACATGTCCGCCACAACAGGAGGGAAGTTTACCTCTGGAATGGCTGGCTGCGTGAAGAACCTGACGTTGATGAATGCTCTCCCAGGACAGCAGTCGGCTCAGGCTGTCGACCTCCAAGCTCACGCAGATCACGGTGTCAACGTTCAGCCCTGCTCTTCATAGACACACACACACACTCACAGACTTAACACTCACAGACACAAATCTGGTGCTTTGCTGCAACCAAAACAAACATGATACTTTTCTCTGTGTGCCGTTAAACCAAAACAACAAATTGAAACTCTTTAATCGGCTCTGCTCGACTGAGGTGTTGTATTCTGAACTGAGGACTCTGGAAAAAAAGGACATCTTCTAATACTTCCACCAGTTCTTTTAGCCATGAGAGGATTAGGAGTAAAGCTCACTCAGCTTTCTACAGCGAGACAAATCCTACAGAGACGGAGAGTTTTTTACAGCACTGAATTTTTATTTATATACATATGAATATATGCATATTATATTTGTGGGGGAAACCATGCAAACTAACCATAGAACTGCTCTTCAGACTTTCCTTACAGTTATTTCTGGGTTCTTCTACTGTGTGTCCGAGGTGCATTAATACTTGAAGAAGTTTAGGCCTTCTTTCTTCACTTCTGTGGAGGAACCTTATATTTTTGCGAGCATGCTCCTTAGCAAATTGTCGGGAGAGGAGCGTACACACTCACATGCAGCTTCAGTGCACAACTCAGGATGCCAAATCCAAACCTGCTCGTGTTACAAGTGTTTTAGTGACTGGATCACCACACCGATGTGTCGTCTCTGTGTTCTTTTTTTTAAAGAGAAGAAGCTAATCTTGGTGCTATTGTCAGACCTGAAGTTGCAACATTTGCTTCTCTGTCACATAGAGGTCTTTTTTGTTAGTGATTTGGCTTTGCTAAGAAACCCAGTTTGGTCGATCTGCATGACATTTGAGGCAAACCTGTTTATGACGCAGCCAAATTTGATTTAGTAGAACTCAAAAAGGAGAAAAGTGTAGTTTTTATGTGTGGTTATTGATTTACTTACTTTGGGTGTGAAATTATCTGCAAGTCAAGTGGATGAGCATCTCTGTTGAGGATGAGGCTGTTGATTGTGTTTGTTTCACTGTGTGTGTGTGTGTGTGTGTGTGTGTGTGTGTGTGTGTGTGTGTGTGTGTGTGTGTGTGTGTGTGTGTGTGTGTGTGTGTGTGTGTGTGTGTGTGTGTGTGTGTACGTTTCCTCAGGAGGGTCAGCCCTGAACTGCCTTGATTGTTTTGTTTTATTTCTTTTTAAACAAAATTATTAGGTTTGGCGGTTTTAGAGACAGCACGGTGATCCTCTGAGGGTTCTGTGGGTTGTTCTCTCTGCAGAGGAAGATCTGCCTTTGGTTTGTAGGAAAGCAGAAGAAGCCTCCAACAGGACACTGTGATCTGTATGCGTGCAGCACGCTCGCCCCATGTGTGACAAGTGATTCATTTCAACTTCACTACCATTATTTTCTTACATTTTTGCATAAAACATGTCAATATTCTAAACCGAGCACTGTCTTTTCACTTTGAGTTGCTTTGTTTTTATTTATTTCATGTATTTTGTTTTCTCCCCTTTTCCCTGCTTTTGTTGGTTGATCTGCTTGCTGTTTTCTGCTGTATCGACTCCCACATTATCTGGTTTCTCCCCCCTCTTGTTCAAGCACGTTCCACTCTGTACGATCCGCACAAAGCACTCAAACAAGCTAGCGGTACTTGAATGGAGCTTTCTTGATGACAGATGGACACTGGTCTTATTATTCACTTAAAAACATAAGTATTGAAGTCTTAGGCTCCAAATGCATGAATGCAGAGACTGGTGTCACCATGCGTACATGGACTAAGAAGAGCAAACCTTCTGCTGCAAGTTTTGGTGTGTACCCCTTGTTGGGTGCTTTTGTGTTTCTGTTCTAAAACTGGATTGTCAAAAATGCACTGTCATTGTTGAGAAAAAACATTTTCTTTAAATTTACATTTTTAAAAGGCCAATTTTACGTAAACTTTTTTTTTTCCAAATGAAAGTACGCCAGATGAAACTTTTCATGTCAGAATATATTGACTGTTCCATTTCCTGTGTTGGACACATTCTCCCCCTGCCTTTCTGTTTCCTAAATAAAAGCTAAATTCATGTGCTGTTTCTAATTTGGACAGGTTTCTATTTTGGTTTAACTACCTTGGTTCCATTCGTGCAGCAATTGTAGCAAACACTGAAATGGCTTTGACTTAATCTGTTGAACTGGTATTGAGATAAAAAGTTAAAGTCTTTAGCAGTTTAGATGTGTTGAAACCATCTACATGTATAATAACTACACACAGGGACATAATGTGGAATTTCAAGCCCAAAGAAAAGAAATGGATCACTAATGGGTACTGGTACTGGTAGTGGTGTGTATGTGCATGTTAGTGGGAGGGTGCATTTCACAACAGTGCATTGAAGCTTTACTTTGAAATATTGATAATAAAATAATAGAAATTATTTTACATAATAATTAGAGTAAATTGTACATTGTTCAAGATGAAACACCAAGTGAAAAAAAACTCCATCAACCAAAGGTCTAGTAAACCTTGAAGGTTTACCTTGTTTGACCTGTTTGCATTCAGAATATATCCTCTGTTTATGTAGTGAGAGAAAGATCACGGGGTACTTCACATCAGTCTAGCAGATTTATAAATGATAACTGACCTGCACTTGTATAGTGCCTTTCAGAGACAGAGGACTCCAAAGCCCTTTACACTACGGTGTGTCATTCATCCATTCACATGCTGATGGTAATGAGCTATAATGTATCCACAGCTGCCCTGGGGCGCTCTCACAGAGGCGAGGCATCCAAACAGGCATCCTAACTAGATGCAGGCAGTAGTGATGTGTCGGTCGCGAACGAACCGGCTCTAAGAGCCGGCTCGTTGAAGGGAATGACTGGAGCCGGCTCGTCATTGGGAGCCGTACCCTCCCCCATCCCCTCTTGCTTTGGTGAACGCTACAGGCGATTGGTCAACATGTGTAACTGCGTGTCCAGCCTGTCCACACACAGAGCAGTAGGGGCGGGGAAGAGGGAGGATCAGATTCAGACACACAGCAGAGCACATGCGAGTGGAGGGAGACGAGAGGGAATGAGGAGGAGGAAAAAGGCGAGTGAGAGGGAGGAGTGTGACGATGACGGTGAGAAAATGAGCGCCAGCTGTCGGAACGAGGAGAATTCTTAAAGTGTTCTGTTATTAAATCCATAGAAATGATAAATATTTGATATATTGCATTTTTTTACATTAGTAAATCATTTTACATATAGTTTTTCATCATTTTGGTTATAAATGTACTCTACGCAACAGAAAATCTGAGGAGCCACTTGGGAGCCGAAAGAACCGGCTCTTTAAAGAGAGCCGGAATTCCCATCACTAGCAGGCAGAGTGGGTTAAGTGTCTTGCCCAATGACACAACAGCAGCATTCTCTTGCGGGAGCTGAGATGAAATCCACAACCTTCCAATTACTGGACAACCCACTCTACCTCCTGAACTACTTCTGCCCCGTGTATCAAGAAACTGCCACGCACAATTGTAAAATGTCAAACCAGAACCTTGAACTTGAACGGGGGAACCAATGTACAGAAATGAAAGGTGTGACGTGAGGATGGAGTCAACAGTTTAGCACTCACGTGACAGTGGCCGAGTCATCAGAGAACTTCTGGACGTGGCAGCTGTTGGTGTTACAGGTGAAGTCCAAGATGTAGAAGGTGAAGAGAAAGGGGGAGAGCACCAGACCCTGTGGTGCTCCATTACTTCACACAAACACCTCAGATGTACAGTTGTGCAGCCTCACGTGCTGTGACTTGTTGGTGAGGTAGCTGATGTCCCATGCAGTCAGACGATCGTCCACTCCTGCACCCTTCATCTTCTGCTGCAGTAGACAATGGCATAAATTATGTTGGTGTACCTTTTCACGGAGTTTTAGAATTACAGGATGTCACCTAACCAATCATTAGAGATCAAGCTAGTCACAGTTCATCCCTTGATGCCTAACAACCAATCACTGTGGGTGTTTGCAGTAAAACTAATGATGGTGGGTTTGTCAAACTCTCACATGACATAGTTGACTAGTTTTGGTAAATAAGGACATATGTAGTGTAAACGTTAAACTAAATGAAGGTGGTGAAATCATATTTGAACATACGCCCTGAACAAGTAAGGCATAGTTTTGGTCAAATTTTTTTTTAAACTCATACATCAAGCTAAGCTACAAGCCTTATTGAGGAAGCTTGACCTTCTCCCCAGTTACAGCGGGGCATGACACGTTCCAGTGAACGTATGCCATTTTAACTATTGCTGGAATTTGCTGTAACCATTTAGGTAATGTGTTTACGAAATGCCAATTGAAATGAAATATCGTTTGCACGGACATTTGTTTTACATACTTCCCAATTATATGGTATGCTATTTCCAACAAGGGTCCTTAAATAAAATAATCTGAATGATGGTAAATGTAGTAACAATAATGATACTGAATATATTTTGTAGTTTGAATCCTTTCTATGAAAAACAGAGGGGGACAGTTATCGTGTCAGCCAGCCTTGTGACCAGTGATGAAGAGGAGGAAGATGATTATGAGACAGATCCTTAAATAAATAATATTCTAAAATACTTTAATATTTTATACGTCATCAGAAATGTTATCTGTTACTCAATAACTTTAAAAAAACATCCAGCAGTAATACGTTTGTATAAAAAATATACCATATAGTATAATAATTATGATATATTTTGCAGTCTTGACAGTTAAATAATATTCTGAAGTGTGCTCGAGTATTCTTAAGTGTCTTATAATTGTCTAAATGATTCTAAATGTTTATTTACTTGTTCATGGTTTTTATTTGGGGATTTATTTAACCAGAACAGTGTCAGCATCCATACTTGATCACTTTGTTTTCAGTGGTTTTCTGCATGAAGATAAAAAACTTTGAAAACTGTAACAATGGATAAAAACTTTGGTTATACACCACATTAACATTCTGAGGTTGTTTTTTTTTAAAGTTTTAAACTATTTCAATGAGTGCCCTAATTAGGGTTAGGGACCCTTGTTGGAAAATGGCATACCATATCATTGGGAAGTATGTAAACCAAATGCCCATGCAAACAATATTTCATTTCAATTGGCATTTCGTAAACACATTACCGAAATGGTTGCAGCAAATTCCAACAATAGCTAAAATGGCATACTTTCATTGGAACTGGAGAAGGTCAAGCTTGCTAGGCTTGTAGCTTAGCTTGATGCATGAGGTTAAAATGTTGACAGATGAACCTTTGTGAAGACCTGGAAAACATGTCAAGTTCCCCCTAGACTGAAGGGGTGAATCCATGATCTCAGGTCAACATTTACAGGAATTGTGTTTTTGAACGGGAATTTGCAATAGACTCTCTCCAAAGGTAATTTACGCTAAAGGCCATCTTTGGGAAACACCTTTGGTTCTCATTGTAAAGCGGAGTTGGCTGCGGGTCTTTCAAACTGCTGGGTTAAAAATAACCCAATTTGGGTTGTTTTGTAACCCAGGTGCTGGGTCAAAAAGTACGCTGTCAATGTGCCATATGAAGTTCGGGCCTTTTGAAAAATAGTTCCGTCGTCTTAGGCGTCTTGCTTGCCTCATTGACACTCCTCTCGGATCTAGCTCCTTCAGCACCAGCCTCACATCTTCCTTCTTTGCTCGTAACCCATGTTCTCGACACTTGGCGTACATCCAGCGGTACCCGTGAAGCTGGCCAGAGTACTGTAGCTCGTTGCTAATGAATTCAACCAAGTCCGCAATATCACAGTAACTTTCACGACGAGAAAGTCCCCTCGCACTGAGAATTCTTTTCAAATGTCTCTCACTTATATCAACGCCATGTCTGCAGCCAAGAACGAATTTAATGTCTTTGTATGTTAAGCCAATATCAAAATAAAAATCTATAAACTTCCCCCACGGATGATATGGACGCTCCTCCATGTTGTTGTGTGTCTGTTTATCTTCCGGTTCTCTGTCGTGGGAAACTTTGCGAGATCTCGCAAAAGTTTTTTTTCCCTCCCATGTCCCTTTAGGGGCTCCGTAAAAAAGGGACCGACCCAGTGCTGCGTTATTTTAACCAAGCAGGGTTGGGTTATGAGTTGGACCCAGCTTATTGGGTTATGCTTTCTACCCAATCAATGGGTTAAAATGACCCAACTGTATAGTTAGGACTACCCAAAATTGGGTTAAAAATAAAACCCAACTTCTGGGTTATTAAATTACTAAACCTTGGGTTAAAATGACCCTATTCTACCGTAAATACAATACAATAAATAAAATACAAATTGAATAATTCAATAAAACAAGATGAACATGTCTCAGTCAATTCTTTATCACAAAAATTATGTTAATTTTCAAAATACATAGATAACAAATAGAGTTGTGTTTTCTACTTTCTCTAAACATGCATTCATATTCAAACTGGTTTTGTAAATGACTGCTAATTGCATTTTTTAAATGACAAATATTAAACATTTTGTAATTTGTAATGTCTTAAACATGTTAAACAACTTTAATGGAAGAACTGTAGTGAAGTGAATGTCCATCAGCTCCCAACACTCACCTTAATGCTTTAGTCAGCAGAACATCAACCTTACATCATAGCAGCATGAGCCCTCAAAGCTTCACAGCATTAGATTCATGATGCAAAGATGAATGTCTGAATAAACCCCCAAATCTGCGCACGTGGTTTTGGATAGTTGACATCGACACAAAAAATGTTTGAGAACAGATGGTATTCCAGTTCCATTGATGGTCAAAAATTCTTGGGAACATCGATGGTCTTCTGCAGCCATAAGGACATGTGGTGCTCCGCTGTGGTCCCATTCAGGTTCTTCACCAGGCTGGTTCCAGTCTAAGTTGAGGGGGATAGAGGAAAAAAAGAACAGATTTAGGCATAAAGGTTATGATTTCACAAACAGCTGTTGAAACATATTTGGAGTGGGCTGTGAATGATAACTGAAGTAAAAAATAACAGAACTTACATGTTGGAAGTCAGTGAAGGCTTGGTCGGAACGCTCTCCTTCAACTTGTATGGCGCAGTTTGGAGAAGCACTGGCAGCAACAACAAAGCCACATCCACCCATTTGTCTGTAAAATTGAAATGTGTAACATTATTCACATGACTGTAGCATAAAGGCCCTCTGCTGTTAGCGGGGATGCTACCACTGGTATAAAATAGCCAGAAGACCTAACGTCCCCCAGTAGAGCCTCACTATGTCAGGGAGTGTGGACAGAAGATCACAACATTTTCCAGAGCACTTGTGCTGTCTTTTTTTAACCCAATACGCTGGGTCAGAATTTTTAACCCAAGGATGTGTTAAACTGACCCAACCTCTAAAAATTCAGCCTTAACCCAGCAGTTGGGTTAGAGAAATAACCCAGCATTTTTAAATGACTTGGACATGTCTTTAAAACCACAACAAGAAGAAGCGCTAAAAGCCTTCCTTCTAAAGAAAGATGTACGCGCCATTGTCAGAAGCCATCTTTGACTGCAGCTAAAAAACTACAGTGTCGCGCGATACAGTCGTCATTGCCGCTATTTTTCTGATTGGGTGTTTTAAAACTGGCTAGTCCCGCCCCTCCTGGTGCCCTGTGCCTCTGAGTATCCAGACTCATCCTCTGTGCAGAGGTCGAGTCTCTAAGGCCAGGCTTTGATCTTCTGGCCATCAGAGGCAAGAAAGGTGGGATCTTCCTTGGACAGCCAACTTTTTCATTATTGCTATCACTCTGCCATCTGGATGAGAACGTTTGGTCACGTGACTCACGTCAGCCAGATAACTTTAATTGTTTTATTGAGGGGACACAAATTGAAATAAATAAACAAATAAATTAATAAAAACATGTAAAAATAACTAAGTCTCAAAAATGGCACTTTGGGCAACAAGGAGGAAAGGTCAGGGTATCACCCTGCAGGTGCCTGCTGAATAATAACAATAACTGAATAAGGGCCAAATAATAAAATAACTTCTTCATAAATGCATGAATAAATGTCTATCTATCTATCTATCTATCTATCTATCTATCTATCTATCTATCTATCTATCTATCTATCTATCTATCTATCTATCTATCATCTATCTATCTATCTATCTATCTATCTATCTATCTATCTATCTATCTATCTATCTATCTATCTATCTATCTATATCTATCTATCTATCTATCTATCTATCTATCTATCTATCTATCTATCTATCTATCTATATCTATCTATCTACCTCTTTTGCATATTTGTAAATATTGTTTGGTAAAGGTGGTGACGTAATTTCCGGTGGGAATGTTCCAGCGGATTTGTCCTGGGATTTAAAAGGATGCGTCTGACCAGCAGTCAGCAAGTGAACGAGCTGGCTTCGCTGCTGCAGTTGTGCGACATTTAAACACTAACTAAATGAACAAGACTGACACGAAGTCAGCGTTTCATACATTTATAATAAAAAAAGAAGATAAGTAACATTTGCGCTTTTTCTGCGGTCCATCATTTGATTTACCGATAGGAAATCTCCGGAGCTCCTTAAGGTAAGAGGACAAACCCTTCGGCATCACTGACACATTGTAGCATATTTTAGAAAGCAGCTGGATTGTCAGGTGATTTGTTTGCGACACATTTGCGCTTTTTCTTCTAAAGAATGTCAACAGCGCCAGTTTCGGGGGGGGTCCTCTGCTAAATAAACAAACAGGCCGTACCTCTATTAAACATGACGTTAGATTATTATTGTTTATTAAATCTGTTTCTGCTCCATTTGAATGGAAATCAGTGTTTTAGGTAATTGGGGGTGGGGGGTCTTCGGCTGTAATGGTGAATTGCTCATTGGTCTAGTTGGTTTCTGTTCATATTTTAGAAAATGGAAATGTGGATTTGTGGAGTAGTATGGGCAAAAGTCCACCAACAAATATTCATTCAAACTAACACTTAATGTGAGAACTTCATTTGCAGAAACAGATTACGCTCTTTTTATAAATTCTATTAAATTCACCTTCTTGCAGTCAATCAAAGTGAAGTGAATTTGATCAAAAGCGACCTTCATCAATTTTTCATATTTAAAACGTGTGGACTCATATGCACTTTAATGTTATAAATCACTGTAAAACTAATGGCAGCCTTATTTCCTGTCAGCTGTGCTGTGAACCATGATCCTCCTGACTCCCTCCTCTGGTATGTACTCTCTACTCAGTCTCACCTTCTAATCACACCTGCATGTTGTTCCGGTGTGCTTTATTGATGGAGCTGATCCAGACAACCTTGGACTGCATAGTTAGTAATAAATAAATGTAACATGTCATGCATGTTGTATATATTGGCTGCAGTGAACACCATGGATTATTTACATGTGACTATTACAGCAAAATCTGTTCATCTGAATCTGATAATATGTGCAACTTGGTCCTTAACAATAATTAAAATGCACGATTCATTCACAGATAAACGTTCACAAGCTGCACCTGATGCTCTGCATGAGACTAACTCTCAGCTTACTTAATTATCACTTAAAGGTATAGCAGAGGATCTTTTTCTTTCGGGTGGATCATCTGAACTAGAGGCCGGCCGATATGTTCAATTTTTTTCTATATCGGCTATCGGCCAATTTTTTTTTAAAGCTGATAAAAAATTTTTTTTTAATCAGGCACCTGTGTGGCCAACTGCCGCCACAATTAGACTGTAGAAAGGACCCAACATACCGTTTTTGTTGTTGTTTTTTTTTTGTTTTAAGTTTGTTTTATGTTTGAAGTTCAATAAATATTAAGAAATGTATTGACTTATTTAATAAATATTGCACACAGTGGGTGTTAATATATATATATATATATATATATATATATATATATATATATATATATATATATATATATATATATATATATATATATATATATATATATATATATATATATATATATATATATATAATCGGCCTTAATAATTGGCTTTGGATATCAGCCATCAGCAACAAAATTCTTTAAAAATTGGTATCGGTCTTAAAAAACCTGTATTGGTTGGCTTCTAATCTGAACCATTGGTCTATAACTGCCAATCACTCTGGTGAAACGTTCATGCTAGGCCATCATGATACGTGCTAGTTCCTGGGTTATGTGCAGAGCAGTACACCGTCATTCCTCACTGTTCTCACCAGGTTTTTTTTAATGGCTGAGCCGAGAGAGAAAAAGTGTCTTCAAAGTCGATGATAAGAAGAGAAAATTCTCCAAAGTGAGAAATAAGGCCGGAGTTATTTTAGGAGACTCGTTTCACCGATGGCGTGCTCTAAAAGCGACGGCTGGGCTCCCACAGACGCTTCTGTTGCTGGTTTTCTGCTCGACAGGAAAGCGAAAGTTCGACGTGCTATTTGAAGCAATTCCTTTCAAATTATTGCTAGAAGAAGTGCTGCAAGGCCGGCAGATACTTTTAAACAGAATGCGCATTTTTTCAAAAGGTGGAGAGGGCGGTTCTTTCCTGAAATTCAGAAACATCCTCCGCAATACCTTTAATGTGCTTAAATCATAGTAGATATGAACTGTTACAATCCTCATAGGTTCAAATAAATACTGCATATATATATATATATATATATAAGTCCAGTAAAGTAGCGTTTCATTAGAACCGATGAGGACCATCATGAATGACACTCACCACCATGCTGCCAACTCTAAAACTGTTGGTAGTTTATTGTGTTTAGGAAGTTTACTTCAGATGATTTCCATAGTGACTTGAGAGGTTTCTTTGTTTTTCCATGTACTCTCCTTAGCTGTTACCTGGTAACGCAGCAGGGTGTTGCATAACATGGGCCTTCCCATCATGCTTTGCACTCATCAGGCAGGAATCCAGAAATAGAGACCTGTTCGTGTGTGTGTGTGTGTGTGTGTGTGTGTGATTAGAAATTGCAGAAAATTAGAAATCTGTGTTTGTCTGATTATTGTGACTAAAGTTAACAAGACACAATTATTAATCAGGCAAATACACATGATTACATGGTTTTGAGTGTTACGCCGGTGTTTCTGGCTTTTTCTGTGTCAAGTCTTCAGTGATTAAAACGCCAGGTGGCGACTTTTGTTAAAGCACACAAAGAAAGAAAAAGATTGAAAGCATGCTGTCAAGTGAAAGTTGTTGTTGCTCTGTGTTTTGTCTCATTCGCTGTTTTCTTTCAGATGAAGAGTCTCTTGCGTTCGCCTGGCTTTGGAATCACAGGAAGTTCAGGGAGAAAATCTCATGAAAGGTTGCTACTGCAACATTAAAAAAATATAAGAAATATTCAGGTGCATGCTGTTTTGTAGCGCTTTGATTTGAGAGAAATCAATGCGCTGGGGGGTGATAAAGAATAAACAAACATTCATGTTGGCGGGTGGAATGAGGAAATGTCTTTAAAACTCATGTCTCTTCAGTCAAATTGTGACACAACAAATAAAAATTCACTACTGGCTCCATAAAGAAAGACATAGCAATGTGAAATAAAAGAGTTTTTCCTGATTTCATTCGTTTTGTGTTGGTCTCACAGTAAAATAAATCAATGTAACCCAGAGGTGGGGCACTTAAACAATAAGACATGTTTCCAATCAGAGCCAGTGCTTCAGAAGGCAAAGTAGGATTAAATATACCATTGTGTCCAGAAAATTCAATTTTAAGATGGATTTCTAACATTTTCAAAGACAGCCATAATTCTTTCAGTTCAGCGTAGAGGTAGGAGTATAATGTGTGTAGCCTCAAATTTTAACTTTACCTTTAACAAAAAGACCTGCAACTGAACATTTTGAATTTAAAGTGAGACAAGAGGTGTTTGAATCAAACTGGTCCCCTCCAAAGAACTGCTACTGAACCTGTTTGTTTAAAGGTGTGGATCACTGCTTTAACTCATTCTCTGCCAGCGTTTCTCGCCGTTTTTACTGTTTTTTTTTTAAGAGTGACGGAATGTTGCGCGCTAGGATGATGCAGCGGAGACTCGCCTCTTACATCAGGAAGAATCCGCGCGTTTCGAGTCTTATCCGTTCTTTCATAATCCGTTGTCGAATTGTGATCGGCAGACGCTTTTCCGGTTCGCGCCTCACTTTTTTTTTTACAGGAACCGCCCAAAACGATCTCGTAACATGTGGATTTTCTGCTTCCTGATCATGTGGCGTGTGACGTACGTGGATGAAGATCGGCTTTAGAGCTGAGATGTTTGTTCTCTCGGCGCGGGGGCTCGTTCCGACACCCACACAGTAAAATAATTCAAATGATGACTTTAGTAGGCATGCCTTGTACAGTAATCCCTCGCTACTTCGCGGTTCGTTCATCGCGGATTCGCTGCTTCGCGGATTTTTTCTTTGGAGCATTTTTCAGGGGGAATTCGCAGATTTGCGGTATTTTTCACTCATTCGCGGTATTTTTCTATGCGAAATATCAAGAAGTTCTTGTTTTTTTCATCAATTTCATCATAAAATGCACTTTTTGTAATAAAACAAAAAAAAAACAAGTAAAAAAATTTTTTTCTTGAGTTTTACCCACAAAAAGAGAATGTGATCATACGGTAATTCAATAGGGAGTGTGGTTTCACAGACGCGGAAGTGATAGCGTCGGTGAAACGCCGGCTGATCTAGGAACCCCCCGAGCGTTCGAGCGTCAACGAAGTGACACGGAAATGCCGGCCTTTCCAGAAGTAAGTAAGATAACTTACTATGAGCTGATAGTTCGTTGGATGGATCGGTAGGTTGGAAACTCTGATCATGAATCTGAAGAAACGATGACTGAGTGGTGAGCTGGAAAGGCGACTTCCGTTTATAGCCGCGGTTTGTGACGTAGGTGCGATGTGGAGGGAATCCCCGCGAGGGGCATGCTGGGAGTCCCTACTTCGCAGATTTTCACCTATCGCGGCCAGGTCTGGAACGCATCTACCGCGATAAACGAGGGATTACTGTACGCTGTAATCTGGTGGGGGAAAAAAAGCCCAGAAGCGCCTGTATCAGCACGAGGAATTCAGCTGGAGGAGAAAGGACCGTCAGACGACAGGATCTGGAGTCATAGGCTACGTTCACACTGCAGGCCTTGATGCTGAGTTCTGATTTTTTGAGTAAATCTGAAATTTTTGTGTGACCGTTCACACTGTGACTGAAATGCGACGTCAAACTCTCTCCAGTGTGAACGCTCCGCGGCACCAAAGCGACCCGCATGTGCGGAAGACGAAAAGTCACACTCAGTAGAACCAAAACCAGGAGCGGCGGAGTTGTGATGTAATCCTGATCCTGTGGTTAAACTATCAGTGAAAACTTTCACACCTGTTTAAGTAGCTTTCCGGAGTTGTCCCCTTTCAGAAATGATGTATGGTTTTCAGAAATCCGTAAAAGTGATTATCTGATCATATACTTTGATGTAATGTAAGCAATGTACGTTTTTGTTGCTAAGCACGCCCCCTGTCCCGCAGAGCTGCGTGCAGTAGGAAACTGAGCACCAACCAGAACTAACCAATGGCATTAAACTACCTCTTACTTACTTCAAATTTAAGGAATACCTCGGCTGATGCAGAGTTGATGAACTTCTCACGAACAGTTGTCTTTAAAATATAAATATATGAAAACACAGCATGACGTGAGAGTAATACTTGTAAAACAGCGTGTTTTTAGCTTGTTGTCAGCTACAGAAGCACATTTATTAACAAGAAAAGTGAAGCCACCATCTTAAAAAAACAAAGCGACAGACTTTTTGTGTGATACGCTTGTCAGCCACTAGATGGTGCCATCGGATAAGAGGAATACTCCGGAAGGAGACTTTAATTCTTCTGTTTTGGGCTGGAAACTGTTTTAAAAACTGTAAACGTTTTTACTCCTTGTTCCCGCCGTCTCCCTGAATCATTATTCACAGAAAATGTTCCGTTATTAATTTGTTCACGGAGATCCCCCACCCCCTTTCTTCACGGTGAGACGCTTCCCTCCAGCAGCACCTCCTGCTCCCATTCACATTCTCTCTTGTAGTTTTGATTCCAAAACGTAAAACAGGATATCCAGACAGACTCCTGAACTCGTCTGTCAGCGCTTCTCCTCAGGAACATCCGCACGCGACGCTCACCTCCGCTGACTCAGTGACGCAGGAGACTGATTTAATGCGACATGACCGTTCAGACTCCAGTCGCTTTCAAAAACATCAGATATGTGTCGGAATCCGTACCACATATTCAAGTGACACGTGTTGCATTAAAAAAAATCGGATCTGTGCGTTCAGACCGTCATAAAAAAATCAGACATGGGTCGCATGTGGGGGAAAAAGCGGATTTAATGCACTTTTTGTCTGCAGTGTGAACGTAGCCTCGTTTCTTCATATTTGGGCATCTCTCCTCTGATTGGATAACAGTAACATGACATTACCACTGACTGTTTTCTCTGTGACACAGATGTCTCCACAAATAACACAAGAAGGAGTTCTGCCGTGTGGTGGAGTTGCGAATGCTAAAGGTTAGCCTCTACTAGTGGCAGTGTGACGTAGATCTGTGAGGCTTTTCAAATCCTAGAGTTTCGCCGTCTATTTTCTATCAGAAGGTAACGCAGAAGGTACAGTTGTGGTCAGATGTTTACATACACTGGTAAAATATATAATATAATGGCTCTACTGAGTGTCCCGTTATTTCTAAAACTCTGATTTTTCTCTGATAGAGTGATTGGAACAGATAGTTCTTTGTCACAAAAAACATTCATGAAGTTTGGTTCTTTAATGTCTTTATTATGGGTTAACAGAGAAAAGTGATCACATTTGCTGGGTCACAAATATACATACAGCAGTGCTAATATTTGGTTACATGTCCCTTAGCCATTTTCACTTCAATCAGGCGCTTTTGGTAGCCATCCACAAGCTTCTGGCAAGCTTCTGGTTGAATCTTTGACCACTCCTCTTGACAGAATTGGTGAAGTTCAGTTAAATTTGATGGCTTTCTGACATGGACTTGTTTCTTCAGCACTGTCCACATGTTTTCAATGGGGTTTAAGTCAGGACTTTGGGAAGGCCATTCTAAAACCCTTATTCTAGCCTGATTTAGCCATTCCTTTACCACTTTTGATGTGTGTTTGGGGTCATTGTCCTGTTGGAACACCCAACTGCGCCCAAGACCCAACCTTCGTACTGATGATTTTAGGTTATGTTGAAGAATGTGAAGGTAATCCTCCTTCTTCATTATCCCATTTACTCTCTGTAAAGCACCAGTTCCACTGGCAGCAAAACAGCCCCACAGCATAATATTCCCACCACCATGCTTGACTGTAGGCATGGTGTTCTTGGGGTTAAAGGCCTCACCTTTTCTCCTCCAAACATATTGCTGGGCATTGTGGCCAAAAGCTCGATTTTTGTTTCGTCTGACCACAGAACTTTCCTCCAGAAGGTCTTATCTTTGTCCATGTGATCAGCAGCAAACTTCAGTCGAGCCTTAAGGTGCCGCTTTTGGAGCAAGGGCTTCCTTCTTGCACGGCAGCCTCTCAGTCCATGGAGATGCAAAACACGTTTGACTGTGGACAATGACACCTGTGTTCCAGCAGCTTCTAATTCTTGGCAGATCTGCTTTTTGGTGATTCTTGGTTCACTCTTTACCCTCCTGACCAATTTTCTCTCAGCAGCAGGTGATAGCTTGCATTTTCTTCCTGATCTTGGCAGTGATGAAACAGTGCCATGCACCTTATACTTACAAACAATTGTTTGCACTGTTGCTCTTGGGACCTGCAGCTGCTTTGAAATGGCCCCAAGTGACTTTCCTGACTTGTGCAAGTCAATAATTCGCTTTTTCAGATCCATGCTGAGCTCCTTTGACTTTTCCATTGTAGTGTTTGTGGGCGTTTGTATCCAATGAGCCCTATTTACCTGGCCTAAGAGAAGTCACCCGCTGTAGTCACTCACAAGAAGTTAAGAGGCCATGCTATGAAGCTCAGTTCACTGACACGTTTCTAAGTCGCCAAAATTGCTAGTTCATGTTGCTGTATGTATATTTGTGACCCAGCAAATGTGATCACTTTTCTCTGTTAACCCATAATAAAGACATTAAAGAACCAAACTTCATGAATGTTTTTGTGACAAAGAAGTATCTGTTCCAATCACTCTATCAGAGAAAAATCAGAGTTTTAGAAATAACGGGACACTCAGTAGAGCCATTATATTATATTTTTTACAAGTGTATGTAAACTTCTGACCACAACTGTAGGTGTAGGAGACTATTTTCATGTTCAGCCTGCATGAAAAACTCAGGGTGGACGATTATAATCAGAAATAATGATTAAAAAATGGTTTCTCGGTGTTCCACACCTTTAAATGTGATCTGAAGCAGCTGTGTAGAATCATAAGCAGCAGGTTGTTGGCAACAGAACAAATTAGCCTGAAAACTCTCAGAAATAAATCACTAGATGTTCATTAACACTCGGTTAGCGTTTGGAATCAGGGGAATTCACTCACACCCAACACCAAAATGGCTCGATCATCCTTAAATGTGTCGAGCTCAAATCAGATATTGTAGCTGAGTCATTCCCAGCACACAGTTCCATCTCTAACAGATTATACATAACATTATTCACACATTTAATCGAAAGAATAACACAACATAATCAACAATTCATTCAGAATTAGAGCCACTGACACTTTTACCTCCTCAAAGCTTAGAAAGATGCTGCCAACTATGGAGGTTGCCACCAGTGTTAATTTTGTTGACAAAATATTTTTGGTTTTTTTCTTCGTCACGAAAATATATTTACAGACGAAAATGAAACAAAATTTCAAAATAAAAGTTTGGAAAAAGACGAAGACGATAATTGAATTGATTGATATGTGACACATTTTATCACAGCCTGAAACCATTAGCATTAGATATATTGGCAATGCCAGCTTCTCAATCTTTTGCAGAAAGAGTGTTCAGTATCACAGGTGACCTCACTAGAGGGAAACGCAACCGAGCAAAGGTCACACTAGCACGAAGTGCTTTTCTCAAAATGAATCGCAGCAAATAAATATTCACACTGTTTGGTTGAGCCTGTGTTGTAACAAGTGAATATCTAAAAACTCAGGGTTAACATGTTTAAATTTGCTGTTCTTGTAAATTCTTGTTGTGCAATTGCTAAAAAGAGCACCTTTGTAATTTCCAGTGTGCTTTTTGTTTTTTATTAAACACGTAAGTGTTAAACATGTGAGGTGTTTTTTTTATTCAAATATTCTATGTTCTTAGCTGTGTGTGCTATATCTGATCAGTGGTGGTTAAGAGTTTGGACCCTGTGTATTAAATTACACTAGTTTTTCCGTGCTCTATACAAAAGTAGGAAATTACTTCATTAGAAAAAATATATGCATTTTGTTGACTAAAATTACTTATTTTCATCGACTAAAATTGGACTAAGACTCAAATTAATTTTTTGCCAAAAGACTAAGACTAAAATAAAATTAAAATTTCCTGTCAAAATTAACACTGGTTGCCACCACCTCCACTGAAGCCCCGGCTGAAGTGTTATTATTGATTTGAACAGTTGTGAGTGCTGATGCCTCGTTCTTGTGTTAGGTCAGCTATAACAGGCTGCTATGTGTCAGGGCTGAACTATAATATTAACCTATTAAACTTTCCAGTTTGTTCCACCCAAACCAATTATTGAGCGCCATTTTAAAACAAAACAAAACACACGTCTTAAGACTAATTATTGACCCATCTTCTGTTCAGATTCATGTGACATCTTTCCCTTTTTAAATAGCAGTCGTTGCTGAACTGTATTAATTCTGTTTTCAGTTAAAAATGGTTCATTATTGGTCAGATAGGACAGCGATTAGCCGCTAATGAAGCACTGCTTGCTGTTGCATGCTGTAGGCTGTGCACGTGACCGAATGAATTTACAGTAACACATGTTTTTGATCAGAAAATGGATGAGTGTATCATAAGGTGGATCTCCGTTTAAAAACATTCATCTTGGTAAGTGATACTTCTCTTACATTAGAAGGGGGCATCAGTTGGGTGTGATGTTTTTTTTTTTTACTTTTTAACGGTGTGAAATATGCTTATCCTGTAATGGTTCATGTACTAAAGCAGCTAGTTACCCTCCCCTCTAAAGCTGACTCAGAATGAGACATATTGAGTAAACTAATCCCATTATAAACACATCAGAGGGTCAGCTGGTGTGGTCTTCTGATGCACTAAACTCAGACGACCACTGACTGTTGCTGTGGTTTGGTTTCAGATTTCTTCCAGTACGCCAACAAGCTCCTTCTGAATGATGATGCCATGGGACTCCAGGTGAAGGAGTTTGTGCGTAAAAATGCTGCTAACGCGTTGTCAGTGGCCAACATGGTCATGGGCATGGCGTCCATTCTCAGCAGCCTCAATGGGTGAGAAGTATACACAGTTAACCTTCTCAAACACACACCTAGTGTGCAGTGGAATATGTGGTGTTGGCTTGTGGAGACGATTTAGAGCAGGGGTGTCAAACATGCGGCTCGCGGGCCGGATCCGGCCCACAAGCGGGTTAAATCCGGCCCGCGAGATGGTTGTGTAAACTTTATTTTCATACTTTACAGTGTAGAGTGAAAATAAACGTATCTTTGTGAGCAAGTTTTCTCTGTAAAGAGTATAAATAAAACAAAGCTGCGCTCAAGGCTCACACAAGAACTTGAGTCACATCCTGAAGTCGGCCGCCACTCAGGATGTGACTTCTGATGTTGATGTGCTGGTGAAAGCTAAAAGATGTAAAGTAAAATGAGTCAAATATACTTTAAGTGCTGCATGGAACTGATCTTGCCATGTGATCTGTAAGCTCTTTGGAATCACTAAGGAATTTTTTATTATGTATTGATTTTTTATTTTTTTCAAATTTTCAAGTACACTTCAGGTGTACACTGTCCTCAGACTCCAGCCTTGTTTTATATTGATTGTATTAAAACAAAGAAAACAATCTGAAGTTGTTTTTTTATTTACCGGTCCGGCCCACTTGGGACTAGATTTCCCTCAATGTGGCCCCTGAGCTAAAATGAGTTTGACACCCCTGATTTAGAGTATCGGAAGCCAAGCCTGAAGCTAACGCAGGACCTGACGGGTGGAAAAAAACACCCACCCCTGCATTGTACCTGAACTTTAAAGTTGTGTTTTGCACACTTTCCGGTGATTATTTCAGTAATGATAACTTTTAGACACAAATGAACCAAAACATTGATGAAATCTTCCTTTAGCAGCATTCGCGTTTGTTGTTTTTCACTGGTGAGCCCTCTTACCCGTCACAGCGGGTTGCTGTCATCGAATAGCCCAGCCTGACTCTCACTTGTTTGGTCCAGGCACCATCACGCTGCGTGTTGGCTGGTTCTGATTGGATACCTGCTGGATTTGGCAGACGGGGCGGTTGCTAGGCAACTCGACGCCTGCTCGGCACTGGGTAAGTGGAAGGTTGTGGTCCATAGCTTTTACCAAAGAGCAAGTCCAGCTGTGCAGTTGGCAGTGTTTGTTGCAGTCTTTTGTCTGGACTTGCTAACTTGGCTGCACAAACTCATCGGAGGAGCCGGCAAACTGTTGAAAAACTTTGATCAGTCTTTGAGAACTTCTAGAAGAAAATCATCTATATTTGTTAGGATAAATAGAACTTTTTTTCCATTTAGACCATCACTAGTTTGAGGTTTAAATAAAAGTTGTGTCGCATAAAAAATAACGCTTTATTATATTGTTATGAATGACTTAAAGTTCAGACTACTTTCTAAAGTAAAAATAACCTTTGCTCCACATGCAGTGCAATATACATAAAGCTGCACTCGCACAGCATGAGCTCACTTTATCACAGAAGCCCGAAAATAGCTCCCAGGTGCATCACAGTCGGCTTTGTGATGTTTTCACCAGACTCTTTCTGCATGACTTTGCACGTGGGCCTTGTTGTGCTCCCCTAACATATTTGTGTTAACTCAACAATCACTTTCTGATTAGGCAGCATACGTCTGCAGGATTCTGCGCCAATTGTCTGTTTTATCCTTTTGCTTTGGGGTCTCCGCATATCTGAAATAGCTAAAATAGTTGACCCTGGGCTGTGGGATTCCACTCCGTTCACTCATGCCATAGCCTGAATCACCTCATCACCATTTGCTGAAAATGCGTGCTGCCCTCCTGAGGGATAAAGCACCGAGAATGTTGTTTATAGAAAACGCTGCCTGTGTCAGCCACTGAAGTTTCCACTGTCAGATGTTTGCACGTGCACACACCACACTAAAATTGTCTGCTCTACAAACGCCTTGTTTAGGATAGTTTTTTCTTCATAAGAGCTCCGAACGACCACGGGCTTTAGCCTTAGCTCGGGATTGATCCACCTCTGCCATCATTCATCGCAGCAAAAGTCGTTAGCGAGAATGCAGACGTAGCTTTTAAATGTTTTTGTAAAAATACCAAAGTTACATGACACGTCTGCTGTACCAATCAAATAACTGTCACAGAATCTTTTTATTACAACACGATTCTAACACATCATAAATGTTTTTCATGTTTAGGTGCAAAACTTGACGATTTTGCTGATTTCACCACCTTTGGGATCGCCACGTCCCTTCTGCTGAGGACGTCTGACTTGCTGGACAACGTCCTGTGCATGTGTTACGTTCTGTCCGTCTTTGTTCGTCTTTGTTTCTTCTCAAGCGGTGAGCAGCTAATGCTGTTGTTTCTTTACACGCTACCTTCCCATTTAAACATTGTTTACCTGTGTTTTTTTTTTCACAGGTATTCCCTTCGTGTACCGTGGCCTTCCTTGCATTTACTCGTCCGCCATCTTGGCCAGCGCCTCTTTGCTATCGGAGGGGAACATGGCCATGCTTCGAGTCACTGCTGTGGCCATGATCCTCTTCATGATTAGTCAGAACTTCTATCCCCATGACAAAGTGCTGGAGTCA